CAATATATCGAGGATCGTTTGCACTAATCTGGCTAGCGATTGCGGCAGATGTTGAGCACGGCGTTCCCACACGTGATCTGGTGCGGATGCTTGACCGAGTGCCTTCAGCTAGATGAGTCCACTAAAACTGTGGTCAGCATCCAATGTCGAAAACTTACAGAGCTATTTGATTTTGGGGAATTATTTACCGCTACACAATACTCTTCAATTATTTCCAAAAAGGTAATCCTGCCCAGCTCATTTTTTCTATCTCCTCTGAACGTAGTCAAAGATTCCGATGGTTTTAATCACTCTAAATTGATAGTATCTCACTATTTGTTACTTGAATCATAAACCAGTGTATATCGCAAAACATTCTCAACCTCATAGAGTTTACTGGTTATGCGACACACGAAGTATAGTTTCATTGAAGTTTAGTTGCTCAGCTCTATTAGGTTTCCGAGTTCTGCCAGACCGATAGATGTATTGGATTTAAGTCAACTTAATTATTATGGTCAGCAAATAGACCTAGACTATTGTAAGACTTGCTACGGCATGACTGTCAAATTTATGTAATGTTACGTTGGAGTCACATCTTCCTCTACAGTGACTCACTATATCACGGTAAAGGGGAAAAAGCTTTGTAGAACCTTTAAAGAACACCTTGTAGCTAATGATAACACAGTATTTTCGATATGGTGGAGTGATTTATATTCAATACACCTGCATGATCGAGTCATACAGCCTAAAAGATCCTTTTTGCGTGACTTTTACCGACCATCATTGATTTTCGTTGAGTGTCTAGTTGAAGGCATACATTTATAGTTATCGTAAAACAGACTTCAATGCTAGTCCGTGTACATTATTCCTCGTTAAGCTGTTTTATTAGATTGTTCCATTGAAAAGATTCCGTTTTTCTTCTAAAACCACACTCGTAGCTTATATCATAAGTAAAAAGAAAACCGAATTCCAACTCAGGTGTAGAAGGTTTGTTCGTAAACCATAAGTAGTCGCCCCAAGTGTATTGTTTAAACAATATGTAGGGCCAGTGAAACGTCAATGAGCCGTAGCCAGATCATCAGGCTGTTGGGTCACTGAATATCGAACAGTTTATTTATCCCCTTCAAGGTCAAGGATGGCCAACGCGCATCAGTTAATCGTCATACACTGGCCCATACAGTGGTGGTCGCACATTCGCTTATACCTACTTTTACTAAAATATTTCTGTAACAACATCCTTTGTGTTATACGGTCTTCAGACCAACAATAGTACCTTCGAACGACGAAGGGATAATCCTCGTTATGTGCTGACTGCGAGGTGCGACTTTGAAGTTAGCTGTTGGTCAACACATTCCCGACTAACTCGAGTAGGCCCCCAATCATTCGACATAGACCATATAAGTTAGTGGTCTAGAAATAGATATAAAAAGTTTGGCGCGAAATCCTTAGAGTACCAAATCAAATCAATGAGAAACCAAAAATGTCCACGGTCAAAAGTAAAAACAAGCAAGTTCAGAGACTGAGTAGAACAAATATAACAGTTAACAGTCGATTAGACATCGTGTGTTTCTCCCGTAACAGTGTCTCCTTTACGCTTATCGCATAGATTAGTGCATCAGACGCCATCCAAATTGTTTAAAGTTATCAATGCCAAGGTTGGATTGATGGTTTCAAATAAATTGAGAATCGAGTAGAAAGTTGATCACGAATACACTTTTTGTTATATCCCGACGAGTAGAAGATCTGTGCTTCTGGAGTTTTGTGACTCAATGGAAGCCGCTTCTTCAGAGTACATAAATATTTGCTGTCAAGAAATCATGAAACGTCAGGAATTAAATTATTCTACCTACTGAGATATGACAAAAAATATATTTATTATTAACTTTCGAAATCGATTTGCTTTCGATAGATACATTCTACATTTAATTAGATGACTCATTGCTCGAGGGTTCGGACCCTATATGTATCTATGCTAACTCCTAGTAAATGAGTATTTCGGCATGTTATATCCTTAGGAGCAAAGTTATTGGTGAATGCACTGATCGGGCTCCAACTTGATATTATTAAAAGTACTCTGTAGTGTCCAGTAATTTCAACCGTTCTAATCCACCTCATGTCATAATGTATAAATTCAAGAGTCAAACAGGGAGATTTGTAGTAGCATTGGATTCTAACCACGCTATCCTTGAGACTAAACACACAATAACCGAAAAGGCTAATATTAGTTATGTAACACAATCATTATACCAAAAAAGATTAACTCCGGGATACCTAATGGAGATGGCGTGACTTAGCCATGCAGGCGTAATCACCTCATATTGACTCATGGTCTTTTTGTTAAATACCTTATCCAAACCACAAATGTGTTCTCCAAAGGTTAAAAAAGACATGATGCTGACGTTTGTGTTGGGATAAGTCACTATAGACTAAGGTATGACTTCCACGTATGATCTTATAGATTACTTAATCATTTCATATTAAGTTCACGATATCGTATTAGGTCTTTTATTTTCGTAGCATAGATAAGTGCTGTAGTAGCGACCTAGACCTATGTCCTACAAAGTTACTACTTTGTGTAGTTTTTACATTTCAGTCTTCAGTAATAAACACAGTAGGTCGGTGAACCAATATTGATCCTTGTGGCTCAATTGCCAGTTTGAGCCAGCTTCACCTTGATAATATTCACTGGTGGAGCTGATAACACTTGCTTGGGTAGCAACTGAAAAGAAAAATCAGAGGACCTAGGGTGGCACCTTGTTGTACATAATTTTTGATCAGCTCTCATTCATACAGTATCTCATTTACTCTCACCCTTTATGTTCGGTCACAGGAAAATTTTCTTATCCACTCTTGTACGGGACCCGTTATTTCAAAGCTCAAGAGCTCTGCATAATCCCTAGATGAGAAACCTTATTAAAAGTTATGCTAAAATGCGTGAATCACATATCGATATACAAAACGTTATCTCCTGCTGCTACCCATCGCTCTCTTTCCACTAGTCATTTAAAAATGAATGCTCATTCTGAAACATGTGTTGCTCAGGAGTTAACAGATTGTATGATTCTAGGTCACTTGAAAACTTAGCCCGAATACGTTTTTCAATAGTATGTTAAGTTGACTGCAGGTAGGTAGTTATACACAATGTCTCTTTCCATACTTGGAGAGAACAACCAACCAACAAAACAGCGCTCATTTCAAAACTATCAGGGAGTATGAACAGTTCAATCACTAGACAAAGAAAAGTCATATGATCCTTTAGTTTAAATTTTGGAAAGCACATAAAAAAGGCTATTTAAAAGGTCGTAAAGAGACGTTCACAGTCAGCAGGATAGGTCAACTTGGGACAAATTTCTTCGAGTTATATACAACTGCATCACTATATAGCTACCATCGGTCATAAAAGCTTGTTGAATTGATAGGTCGTCGTATTTTCATTTTGATGCAAACACTTAACTAACTCAATCAGTCAGCCAAACGCATATGATGATGGATGTGTCCGTTGTTCATCCTTGTCTTTAATTTCATAGCTTGTCCATTATTTGCACACTATTTCGATCATATGTAATATGCATCAAGCTTAACTGAACAGAGTTCGTACTAACCAGTCAACCAAGTTCCAAATATACCTGTTGCTGTGGTATATGCTATTTCTGATGACGATTTAAGAATTACGTAACATCAATCAGAAGTCGAGCGCCTGCCAATAGGAGGTTGAATTGAGAACAGCAAGGGAAACAGATACCAATTGGAACAACAATAAAATGGAAACAATCATGAAGCATGCAAACGACAACCGAACGAAAATATGCTAATAGTGTATTTAATGTATGGTTTCTATATTTTACCAAGGCACTGTATAATTTTGCGTGGAAAAATAAATCAGTTATCCCCACCGAGCCCTCGTTCACCGTAATATTACCATTTACTACACATATGAGAGCGCTTGAAACATTGTAGATCACCAGCGTGGATGACCTATGTCGAAATGATTGGAGACTTACTCGAGTTAGACGTGAGTGGTGTGACAAACTAGCTAACGTCGAAGTCACACTTCACGGTCTGCACCTTACATAGATTATCCCATTGACGTATCAAGGTAGTATAGATGCTTTGAAGACTGTACAACACAGAGGACGTTATTACAGAAATATATTAGTTAAAGTAGATACAAGCGAAGGTAAGACCACTGCCGCATGGGCCAGTCCATGACGTACGAATAACTGATGCGCGTTGGCTGTCCTTGACCTCGACGAGGATTGATGATTTGTTCGATATTCAATGGCCCAACTACCGGATGATTTGGCTAGGGCTCAGTTGAATTTCGCTGGCCCTACAACATATTCCTCCAGTATATATGACACTCGGATTTTCATATCAATGTTTCACAAAGGGGTTTGGCGAAGTAATACTGAGGAGTTCAAGCGGAGAATTACAACTTCAATTCAAAGTTAAGCGACCAACTGAGGTTCGGTATTTAATCTCAGAGAGTTCATGGGGTTTCATATAGGATTCGATGTCAGCCACTTACGTATTCTAAGGAGCTCACCATTATAAACACACCTTAGAGTTCTATAAAACTTATGTCTAAGCTAGATCCTAACAACAGCCTCAAACGATGTAACGGAACCTCTATGAGCGACGGTACTTTCGGCTGAATAACTCCAAGACTTATGAGCAATACAGCAATGAGATACTCAGCAGACCTATGGTTGTCATCAACCCACTTGACTAACGGAAGCAGCTGCCATCAACCACAAGACTGCAGACAAATGTCAACTATGAATGGCATGATATTTGGATAACTCATGTTACAAAGAGCTGACTGTTCTCTAATAAATAACCGAAAACTATTTTTATAGGTCATAAATAGTGATACATGAAATCATCATTCATGAGATATTATTATAGGATACTCAAACATTGGAAGTCCAATAAAGCCGGTTGAGCTATAGAGATAAGTTAGTCAAGTTTGCTCCACCCGTAATGACTTGTCACCATGTGAATAGTTACACCAGTCCAAGGCCGTCATAGTCGTAAAAGCGCAGGATTCGTCTTCCTTTCAGCACATGGTGGGTTCGGTTACTGGTTGCGATATATATATATATATATATATATATCGTAAGATAATATGTAGCTATCCGTTCATCACTATGTTTATCGGTTTTCTACCCGAATTACTTAAATCTGATGTGTTTAGTAAGCAAGTACTTGCTAACTAAAATATACATTTTAGTATGGCTATTCCTTTAGTTTTAGCTATTTAACATTTTGGGGTTTCACACAATTGAAGCTATTGAATGGTGCTAGAGAATCAGACAGATTTAAAATATAACTTTGTATCAAACAAGCCATTTGCTTATTGCTGAAACAGGCACCGTATTCCTAATCACTAAGACGACATTTAACTGTCTACTGAACAGTTTTCCTGCAATGTTTGTCACTAAGAGGTTTGTACAATGAAAGTGTACCACCATAGTGCGAACTATATTCAGACTCTTTTGATTAGTTCTTAAATTACGATCACCTACCATTAAAACTAGCTGCTCATAAAGAGTTAGTCAGTAATCGATTCTTGTTCATTTTCTCATAATTATACTCCGGAAATAAGCTTTCCTCTATCCGGATCCTTAACAATCGATTTATTTGGAGACCGATCAACGCAGCGTACACAGGAAAATAGCCGTTTTCTGTAGTGCTTGAAAAGATACAGTTTCCCAAATATCTCGATTAACGATTTTAAAACGCTTGAGGTGCGATTCTCATTGGAAAAAATAATGGGATACTACAGGTATTATGAAACATTTATGACATGAATATTACTATACTCGACCTTCAATTACGTTTTATGTAAGGAATAAGTATGCTAAATGAATGCTCAAACCAAAGTAAAACGGCCTTTGATCTTAAAATCTTATCGTTGAGAGTTACGAGTTTTTTTAGTGGCTGGACACAGTCACTGCTTTGTTTGGGGATAAAAAGTAATGTGACAAGTCGAACAACTCACTTGTCTTGATGGTCTTGTTGACATTATTTAGTTGGTGTTTGATCAAATCTAGTCACAAATATAAGGGACCCCTTGGGTTTTTACGAACTTGGAGCACTTGTGGCATGCAGAGAATTTTATATTCTAAGCATATAGTACAGTATAAAGCCATTAATAACTGCAATAATCGTAATGATGTATCGTGTGCGGGCTGTCCATCTGTTTATCAAGGACTGAATGCCTCACAGTAGTCCTCTGTATATGACATTTTGCGTAACATCTCTTCTTGGTGTATTTAAGGTGTTTTGGTATGGCTTAGTACTAGTAACTAAATGATTAACATCAAAATGAGGTATTTGACAAAACCCGTATCATTGGTCTATGATCTCTATATTCATGTATGTGTACATTTGTTGTCATTTCCAATTGATCCATAAATACATTTCTTGTGGTTCATAATCTGACCCTAATATGATCGGATGATAATTTTAACGAAATATACATCCCGCCTACCCTCCTATATAATCATCGACTTGATTCTCGTTAGTCAATAACGGGATAAAATAAGCCAACTATCAGAACAGTTTTTGAATACATGTATATTAAGCACTTATCACCCCAGAAACAACGCGGATCGGAAAAGCAAGGCGAGATTCCCTATTTATAGCCAGAAATGTAGTGAATAAAGTTGGCTATATACACACACTCAAATAAAAACAGTCAAGGTTATAAGTGAGTAACTGACAAGGTCGTAAGACGTGTAGGTAATAGTTTAACAAGAATAAATTAATTGGTCCATCCAAAAGCTAGGACAACTCATGTAGGCGTGACAGCACTAGACACGATAAATTAATCCCTTGCGGTAATTATTGCTTCGAATATTAAACAATAGACTATTTTTCTTAGGACATCTTGTGTAGTGCTTTTTATGCCTGTTTTCTTATCAACTCTTTCACATAGTTTACAGCTCCATACATAACTCAGATAAGTCCTTCACGACTTCAAGTTATGATACCATGACTTAGTCTAAACCATGTTCTGCGTCTTTCCATTCCAAATCTGATATAATCAGCATCTCATACAATTTGACAAATCACTTGTCAGACGTTTATATTCGTTTAACTTGCCACTTTACATTCTACGGGATTAAAATCGATAACTCAAGATTTTTTCCACAAGCTTGTCTAGTTTATCTAATTTTATTATTTATTTATTTTAACACATAAGTATAGGTACAGGGAGGCACCAAATACATATGCGCCTCACAAATCTCAATTGATTTGTGTGAGGGCTGTGATACTGCCCGGGTGCCCAGACCGAAACAGGCGGTTTTCTTAGGGGGCCACACCCCGAGCCTTTGACCTGAACGTCTGACCCACAAGGCAGTGGAGCATCATAAGGAGATGCAGTCCCATGGTAGCCGGTGACCAACGATTGGTTCATACGCCATTTGTTCCCGCAGGATACTGGAGCCCATGTGCACCATTGGTTTGGGGTCCGGTTAAAGCGCCAGACATTCGCTTTTCGTCCTCTCATTTTTGTAAACAACACCCCCGCCACGAGAAGGCAGTGAGTAGGACTTCCCTGGCAGAGGCTATATACGCATGGCCATGTGAGAGCATTTCGAGAGGGAGAGCGGACTCTCCCCACTCTCGGCCGTACCAGGGCATTTGGTGTAATTTCAGAAAACGTTAAATCTAAGTAATTAAAAGTCGTTCCACTTGTAATATCAGTATCACTTTTAAGAGTAATCATTTGGTTTATCAGTAAATTATCCAGAAAACACATTCGAAAGTCAACCATTTTGAAAGTTTATTCCAACAACTGTATGATAGACAAGAGTTAGGCTTAACAGTCGAGCCTTAATTCCTTGAAAACCAAGTAGCGTACAAGGCTAATTTCCTTCAATCGTTTATAACATCTGATTATACTTATTTTGTGTTGATAGTCTTTATGTAAGCATGTTGAGTATTGAGTAAAAAACTTATTCGTTAAGCTAGCGGTTTTATCCTTGATTTCAGTTTATTAGGGGGTTTTGTCACTAATTTCGTACCGTGGATAGTTAGCACTTGGGATACATCTTATAACCGTATTCCACTTGTCGACTGGGGTGTTGTTTATTTCACAATCTTCAAACGTTCATTACAAGTATAAATCTCCCCCTCTACAACAGATAATGATTTAGTTAATCACCACTACAGTGTTATGCAACTTACTGTAGTCGATCTACTTCCGGTCAATTATTCTTTACGACTATCTAAATTAATGTATACAGAAGTCTCTCGTATAAATCTAATTCTAAGCTACTTATCAACATCGCAATAATTTAGTTTGAGAAAGCTTCACAACCAATAGTTTACTCTAACGTAATAGTTATATCAAAAAGCACAGTTTGTGGATCTATACACACCATGTTGGTTTCGGTATGACTTGGGCGTTTGCCGACTAAATTAACAATTATATGTTATTCTTTCTAGGCAGTACATTTGAAATCAAATATGGAAGACCTACGGTCCGTTTTTAATAAGGTCAGTTGACGCTGTTTACTGTACATAATACTCTGATCATGTACTTGTTTTTCATTAGAACAATGTTACTTTTTCGTTTTATTTAGCTGACTTTTCATTAAGAAATGATTTTTAACATCGTACAGGATTGACATTGGTTTAAAAAATACCTCGGCTAATCCAACCGGCCCAGATTAATACCCTCAGACGCTTTTACTACAGCTCCGTGCTTACATCACGCATTCAGCGGTTCTATTGTAGACAAGCAACACTACAAGAACACTTGTAATTCGACACACGTAGTCTACAGGCATGTTTTTTGGTTACTGGTTATAACACCGTACACGACTTTACAGTATGTTTACCCTGCAATAAAGTGTTTAGTGTTACTGAGTTATAGTCTGTTCTTACAATTTGGAGTAATCAACTATCGAAATTAGTCTGAGGATTACATCATCCCGATACCCTGGGCAGTTTCTCAGTTAAACCCTTTAATATATTATGATAGTCATCCTTAGAAAGTGAACCGTCACTCGTCTACTTTGCTTCATTACATGTTTGTCAGTTTCCGCAAATTAGGTGAAAACCTCGGAGCCGGTTTCGTTTTCTCCTTGAGATTACGACCAGATGTCGAGAGGCAAAAGGCCGGTTGAAAACCACTCAGAGTATATCCCACTAAATGTTTTAGCTGCCCATCTTGAGAGATTATCAGTGAGGTAACTTCAGTAACAATTTCTCTAATCAGTCTCTAACAGTTTTTCGATCATTACTTGACGTAAAACTTTCCTCTTTCTTTACCGGAACAATTACTGGGTAAATCCTCGCCTGATTCTGCATATGAGCTACCTTCGATTCTCATTACTCTCAAAACTATCCTAAAATAGTTCTTGTACATTATTTGTTTCGAATTCATTTCCAAAGACTAACTGACCTTATCATCCTAACCATTTTTGTTTGCAGGTCACCAACTGTTTTTGTCATTGTTTCTAAAGAAAACTAAATATTTTCTTTAAGAGAATGATGAGACTCGTTTTTATTCTATAATAACTGCTGAGTTAATTCTTTCTTAAGTACACTTTTGATGCCTCCACCTCTAACCTGGACACAAAGAAACTTACCAGATACATTTTATTTGTGCCCACTCAACCCCAAACACACTAGTACAAACCAACGCATGGGAGCCCTACCAAATAATTCGAATAGTTGTTAATATTCTTGTTGGGTTGTTACCAGGATCCCCAAGCTAAGCAGTTTCCATTTATGTCTTAATCCAGTTCTGACCAAAAGAGAGGCTGTTGTATCAATTTTAAAAGCTCCTTACTATTAGTTTAATAGCGTAATATCGTCGTACCCTAATGTTATTTCACTAACCTTAGTCTTCTCAATTTCACGTTAAATTTATCTGCAAATATAATTAAACCTAAACGTTTCAATATTTTTAAATATAACTAACAGGTTTTAATAAAAAATTATCAGTGGCATCATTTGAACTGTAGTTAGTAGATATGTAGGTTGACCCTACAAATATGTATGTGTCATTCGTTCCTTTAAATTTTTATATAACAGTTAGAGTAAACAACAAAAGACTTTTATCAGTTTCGGTTCACTTCAGAATCACACTTTCTGCTTTGGAACTCAATGCTTTCTGCACACCTGTAGTATTTTAGTGGTTAAATCATCCCTCAAACCATTAAGTCGCAAGTTTAAACTTACTCCCCTTATTTCTCTTTGAGGAATCGGGGTAATGATATTAGTCCTCACAATAAGTATGACTCAAAACCGGATACATAAACCCATACCTAGCAATTGATTTATGCAATTAAATGAGATTGAAAATCTACGAGAGTCAGTCATATGTTTCTTAATCACCTATATGATGAGTGATACTGACTCCTTGTATTGGTCGAGTAGAGTTAACTGAACTCATGTACCGATCGCTATCTGAAAAGGCTAATGAGGAATTAAAGACCGTAACTATTCGTAAGAATCACTTATTCCTCTTGAATTATCTTCCGCCAAACAGTGGGTACTTGAGTATCTCCCTTCATGGCTAGTTGGTCCAGTGCTTCCTGTCGATCTTCAGCTGTTTAACATGAAACAAAGTACAGTGTGTTACCCAGTCACTTCGTTTAACATCTACATCACAACTTGACCAGTAGAGTCAGTCAGCCAGCTGCAACGTAGGACCAGGCACGTATATGCATCGGTCCAAGTTGCCATACCGCATTAGCACAACAAGATGAACACCGGATTTATAAAAGTAGTTGATTCAGTGGTGGTAATATATAGAAAAAAGATTGTGTATAAGGAGATAGTACAGGAAAAAAAGAATTAGTTCATAGAAAGAAAGATTTGAAGTGATTTTAATCTCTTAATTTAAGGAAGACAGAGAGTGTATACACCGACGCCATTGTGATCGATTCTGAGCCATGTCACCAAGAGTCTCCAACCATTGTTTACGATAGTCACGCGGACCCCAACCAGGCAGTCTGAATCTTCCAACATGGCTCAGCCCAGAAGTTAGTGTCTTCAAGCACTGATGCCACGTTTTGGTTTGGCCGCCCCTAACTTTCTTCCAATTATCCCTAACACCAGTGAGCATTGCGCGTCGTGGTAATCGGTGTTCAGGCATACGCAACACGTGGCCCAACCATCTCAGTCGATGAAGATTCATAACCTCATCAACTGATTTACCATCATTCCCTAGTACCCTGCGTCTAACCTCACTATTACTTACCCGGTGATCCCAGCACATACCAGCAATATTTCTAAGGCACATGTGGTCAAATACTAGTAACTTACGAGTATCTTCTACTCTCAAAGGCCATGTTTCTCAGCCGTATAGAAGGACGGAACGAACGGCCGCGCAGTATACTCGTCCCTTAATTGATAGACGGATATCTCGCCTTCGCCATAGATGACGTAAGTTGGCAAAGGCCAAACGAGCTCTTCGAATCCGTGCTGAGATTTCGTCAGACACCAACCCATTAGGGCTGATCAGACTTCCAAGATAAGTGAAGTTGTCAACGCGTTCGACTACTTCACTCCTTATCCTTATAGTTCAGGTGTTGACGCAGACCAGTTCTGAAGCAACAACTTGCATTTAGAGGGAGAGAAGCCCATCCCAAGCATTCTGGCATTGTTGCTCAGTGCTACCAAAAGACTCTGCATTTCATCAGCGTCTTCACCAAACAGGACTATGTCATCTGCGTATTCTAAGTGGATATGTGGACCTCCTGGTAGGAGATCAATACCCGAGAATTCAGTCGATGAGAGCGTTATTTCCATCAGGAGGTCTGTGATAAAGTTAAACAAAAAAGGAGAAAATGGACAGCCTTGACGGACGCCACCTGAGGTTGCAAAAGCGGATGATAGTTCGCCATAGGCTCTGACCCGACTAGTAGTGTTCGAGTAAAGAGCCTTCACAAGGTTTATGTACTTCTGAGGTACGCCTTTCAATGACAGACACTGCCACAGAACCTCTCAGTCAACAGAGTCAAACGCTGCTTTTAAGTCAAGGAAGACCACCATTGTCGGACGCCGATAAGTATGCCTGTGTTCTAGAACCTGACGAATGGTGAATATGTGGTCGATGCAGCCACGACCAGGTCTGAAGCCAGCCTGATTTTCTCGTGTTTGCAGTTCACGTGTCTTAGTTAGGCGTCCGAAAATTATCGAGGCTAGTATTTTAGATACTATATTAGTCAAACTAATCCCTCTGTGGTTGTCACAGGATGATTTTGATCCTTTCTTAAATATTGGGACGATAAGTGATTGTGACCAGTTAGATGGAATAACGTCTAACTCCCAGATTTTAGCTAAAATATTAGTCAACCTAATCGCTAAGACTAGACCACCATCCTTAAAGACCTCTGGGGCCAATCCATCTGGACCAGCTGCCCTTCCTCGTTTCAGATTAGCTATAGCCTTTTGAACTTCAGCTAGAGTTGGGGGCCCCCAAATGCCCTGGTACGGCCGAGAGTGGGGAGAGTCCGCTCTCCCTCTCGAAATGCTCTCACATGGCCATGCGTATATAGCCTCTGCCAGGGAAGTCCTACTCACTGCCTTCTCGTGGCGGGGGTGTTGTTTACAAAAATGAGAGGACGAAAAGCGAATGTCTGGCGCTTTAACCGGACCCCAAACCAATGGTGCACATGGGCTCCAGTATCCTGCGGGAACAAATGGCGTATGAACCAATCGTTGGTCACCGGCTACCATGGGACTGCATCTCCTTATGATGCTCCACTGCCTTGTGGGTCAGACGTTCAGGTCAAAGGCTCGGGGTGTGGCCCCCTAAGAAAACCGCCTGTTTCGGTCTGGGCACCCGGGCAGTATCACAGCCCTCACACAAATCAATTGAGATTTGTGTGGCGCATATGTATTTGGTGCCTCCCTGTACCTATACTTATGTGTTAAAATAAAATAATAAAAGAGTTGGGGGACCTACTTCAATGTTCCATTCACACTGTCTGGGAATAGAGGGTAGTTGTAGAGTAGCTGAAGGCCAGCTAAACTGCTCCTTAAAGTGTTCCGCCCATCGTTCTAAGCGTCTGGACTGGGAGCAGATGAAAGTGTCGTCTTTTTCCGAAATGGTCTGACTTACACTTGATTTATTAATTCCAGTTTCTTTTATTAGTCTGTAGAGGTGTCTTGTGTTCCCTATAGCCGCCGCCTTTTCAATCTCTTTTGCTTTCGTTGCCCACCACTGCTCACGATCGTCCTTTAGACTTTTGCTTAACCTAGATCTGATTTGTTTACGCTCTTCATCGTGTTCAGAACCTGATGGGATGAGTTTGCGAGAATCTATCAGTGCAATAGACCTTGAAGAAATCCATTGGTTCTTTGTAACCCCGTGGTTTAAATCACAAGTAGATGTCACTGCTGTTTCCACAGCTGCTTGTATGTCTTTCCAAGCAACATCTGGGTCAGTCTCGTTTTCAGAACTACCTAAGTGTGACCTCAGTTGTTCCTGGAACCTACTTTTGGCTTTCTCATTACTCAATTCGGTTCTAATGAGTCTTTTTTTGTGTGGCTCTTTTGCGTCCAGTGAGGCGCAAGCAGATGCGTGCTCGTACTAGGGCATGGTCGGAGTCCAAGCAGGTACCCCAGAATGAGCGACAATCTTCTATTGACCCTCTCCAACGATGACTGATGGCAATATGGTCTATTTGAGTCCATCGTTGGTTTGGTGCAGGGGGTCGCCATGTTAGATGATGTCTCTCCTTATGCTTAAAATTTGTGTTTGCTAAAAATAAACGATTGTCTGAGCACAGTTGCAGCAGGCGATCACCATTATCTGTTCGCTGTGCCGGAATACTAAAATACCCACCTAAATGTCTTTCTGTTTTGTTTAGGCTACCTACCTGGGCATTAAAGGCACCTCCTACGAGTACTATGTCTGAACGTTTAGCTTTCTGAAGAAGTTCAAACAGCTTTCTGTAAAATTCATCTTTCACTTCATCCGAACTGCAGTCAGTGGGAGCGTAGGCAGAAACGACGAAAAGGCAACGACGTGTGTCCCTATCCTTTCGAGTTCTTACGGAGCCGTTTAGCCGAACAGCGCACAGACGACTGTTAACGGGGATCCACTCTAATAGCGTTTGTTCCGCCCTCATGCTAAGTGCTATGCCTACACCTGCCAGTCCACGAGAACTAGCCATCGGGTCGCCAGATACACGGAGGGTGTATCTCGTTGGCTCTCCGTTTTGCCGAGGTGAGGTCAAGTGAATGACCACACTAGGATCCTGTATGCGTGTTTGGGAGACACAGCATACATCAATGGTACGAGATTCTAAGGTTTTAGCCAAGGAAGCCTGCTAACCGATTTGGCATAGTGTGCGTACGTTGAAGGCTCCAATGTATAGTTTGGAGCGAGGTTTCAGTAGACCTGGGACAGTGTTTTGAGCACTAGAATCGTTGGTTGTGGTGACACTTGAGGAGGAAGCTAAAAGAGGAAGTTTAGTGTATAAAGTCGATGTAGGAGGAATAATAGGAATTGAAGAGGGAGGTTGACTATGAATACAGTGGTCTTGAGTGCTGTTAGAGGTATGAGGGCGGTTATCACTTCCCGGTTGCCCACACCGTGGAAGGGTTCTTCTGGAGGTACCTGAAAAGGAAATTGGATTAGAGTTGGTCATAGTGACCTGAGAGCGTGACCGCAGTGCCCAAGGGACAGCTGCTTGAGGTCGGTCACACACGACCTTTTTATGAGTGATTTTTGTGTTAGCTCCGTACTTGTTGAGTCCTTACCGCCGGAGACGGATATCCGTGGGATAAGGCGAGGTGTGCATTTTTAGGGTCGACCTTTTCTAACCCCACCCCTCCTTGTGGGAAGGCAGCATCGCTGTCATGCTGGTTGTCTGAAGGAAACACCTTACTGCTGTCACACCTCTGTACAGTCAGCAGTACGACTTCGCCTTCGGACCTTGGTTTTGTTGCTTTTAGTCTTACCGCTCTTCAACCAGTAGAAATAAATTGCCAATAGGGAATAGACAATATAATATTGGTTACTAATCAGAGTAAAATTTTCAGAGTAACTAGTCGAAAACTTCACGTTAATGCAGTCTTCATCGTATACTGATAGCTTTTGAAGAGGGAGGTTGATTATGAATACAGCGGTCTTGAGTGCTGTTAGAGGTGTGAGGGCGGTTATCACTTCCCGGTTGCCCACGCCGTGGAAGGGTTCTGCTGGAGGTACCTGAAAAGGAAATCGGATTAGAGGTGCCCAAGGGACAGCTGCTTGAGGTCGGTCACACACGACCTTTTATGAGTAATTTTTGTGTTAGCTCCGTACTTGTTGAGACCTTACCGCTGGAGACGGATATCCGTGGGATAAGGCGAGGTGTGCATTGTTAGGGTCGACCTTTTCTAACCCCACCCCTCCTTTTGGGTAGGCAGCATCGCTGTTATGCTGGTTGTCTGAAGGAAACACCTTACTTCTGTCACACCTCTGTACAGTCAGCAGTACGACTTCGCCTTCGGACCTTGGTTTTGTTGCTTTTAGTCTTACCGCTCTTCAACCGACCTGTCTGGCATGGTAGGACCTTGAGGAACGGTTGTTCCAGCCAGTATAGCTCAGTTGCTTCATCACGATAGGCAAGCCCGACCACCACGTCGAGGTAGCAACAACGGTCAGGTATATAATATACCCTTGTGGGCCAGGGTAATTTTACATCGGTTTTCAGGAGAACCAGACACCATCCAGACTTTCACGTGACAACCCAAACAGTACAGCCCAAGCCCGTTTAACAGGAGAGCCAGACACCGTATAGGCTTTAACGCTACAATCTGAATAGTGCAGCTCAATCCTGTGGCGCAACCACACAGGTACCAAGCACCCTGGTGGACCCATCTAACTGGTCACAATCACTTAGCGTCCCAATATTTAAGAAAGGGTCAAAATCATCCTGTGACAACCATAGAGGGATTAGTTTAACTAACATAGCATCTAAAATACTAGCCTCGATAATTTTCGGACGCCTAACTAAGACACGTGAACTGCAAACACGAGAAAATCAGGCTGGCTTCAGACCTGGTCGTGGCTGCATCGACCACATATTCACCATTCGTCAGGTTCTAGAACACAGGCATACTTATCGGCGTCCGACAATGGTGGTCTTCCTTGACTTAAAAGCAGCGTTTGACTCTGTTGACTGAGAGGTTCTGTGGCAGTGTCTGTCATTGAAAGGCGTACCTCAGAAGTACATAAACCTTGTGAAGGCTCTTTACTCGAACACTACTAGTCGGGTCAGAGCCTATGGCGAACTATCATCCGCTTTTGCAACCTCAGGTGGCGTCCGTCAAGGCTGTCCATTTTCTCCTTTTTTGTTTAACTTTATCACAGACCTCCTGATGGAAATAACGCTCTCATCGACTGAATTCTCGGGTATTGATCTCCTACCAGGAGGTCCACATATCCACTTAGAATACGCAGATGACATAGTCCTGTTTGGTGAAGACGCTGATGAAATGCAGAGTCTTTTGGTAGCACTGAGCAACAATGCCAGAATGCTTGGGATGGGCTTCTCTCCCTCTAAATGCAAGTTGTTGCTTCAGAACTGGTCTGCGTCAACACCTGAACTATAAGGATAAGGAGTGAAGTAGTCGAACGCGTTGACAACTTCACTTATCTTGGAAGTCTGATCAGCCCTAATGGGTTGGTGTCTGACGAAATCTCAGCACGGATTCGAAGAGCTCGTTTGGCCTTTGCCAACTTACGTCATCTATGGCGAAGGCGAGATATCCGTCTATCAATTAAGGGACGAGTATACTGCGCGGCCGTTCGTTCCGTCCTTCTATACGGCTGAGAAACATGGCCTTTGAGAGTAGAAGATACTCGTAAGTTACTAGTATTTGACCACATGTGCCTTAGAAATATTGCTGGTATGTGCTGGGATCACCGGGTAAGTAATAGTGAGGTTAGACGCAGGGTACTAGGGAATGATGGTAAATCAGTTGATGAGGTTATGAATCTTCATCGACTGAGATGGTTGGGCCACGTGTTGCGTATGCCTGAACACCGATTACCACGACGCGCAATGCTCACTGGTGTTAGGGATAATTGGAAGAAAGTTAGGGGCGGCCAAACCAAAACGTGGCATCAGTGCTTGAAGACACTAACTTCTGGGCTGAGCCATGTTGGAAGATTCAGACTGCCTGGTTGGGGTCCGCGTGACTATCGTAAACAATGGTTGGAGACTCTTGGTGACATGGCTCAGAATCGATCACAATGGCGTCGGTGTATACACTCTCTGTCTTCCTTAAATTAAGAGATTAAAATCACTTCAAATCTTTCTTTCTATGAACTAATTCTTTTTTCCTGTACTATCTCCTTACACACAATCTTTCTATATATTACCACCACTGAATCAACTACTTTTATAAATCCGGTGTTCATCTTTTTGTGCTAATGCGGTATGGCAACTTGGACCGATGCATATACATGCCTGGTCCTACGTTGCAGCTGACTGATAGCTTTACAAGTAGTGCAATCCAGGAAGCCCTAAAAGACTGTTTAATTCTGATTTAAGACTTAGTAATATTCACTGACAGCTCAACTAAAAGGAACCCATAAGTTTCAGGTCTTGTAACTATATTGATACAAGAGGGTGAAGTTGAATGTAAACGGCATTTCCTGCCTCTAATATATATTGTTCTAATTTACATAGTAATAATCTTCGTGTCCTCTAAATTTATCAATACATACAAGCTCAAACTTATTATACCTTTTCAAGTGTGCCATCATCAAACAATTAGAACTGATTAGTCCTCTGGTTGGCATCATTTTGTTTTGTTTTCTACTGATAGAATGCAGTAAACCATAATAGGTTACACTGTACTAAGTTGTGTTAAAAACTACGATATTTATCCATTTACTTTTATTATTATTCCTACCTATAGTATGCCAGTGTTAGCAAAAATGGTCAAATGTATATGACTCCGAAAGATTTCGCTGTCAAATATCTACGTTTATTCAATGAGGAAAATTACAATGTATCATCAGTTAATTGTATTGCTAGTGCTGCCGACACCACAAAAGATGGGTAATCAAGGTTATTGTGATTGTTTTTTTTTATTTGAGCATCCATTTTCACCTCAATAATAAATATATGTGTAAGGAAAAATAAAATCACAATAAAACCATCAAAATCCAAATAAATATTTATGTGTGTGAAAACAAACTTTTCTACGCACCAGATATCTCATACGCACTACAAAAAATTCTTACTTTCAACATTGTTAACATAATTAGATGACCTGTTTAGTATGCAGTTGACCGGAGAACCATGTACCTACTTATACTTGATAATTTTCATGTTTAACTGTGTTTCCTTGAAAAATCTCGGACCAGACTGACGAGAGAAACAATGGATTTACTCAAAACTCAATCACTGAAATTTTCACAAATGTAATTTTCCTTCTTAATGTCTTACATCAATTTGGCGCCGAACTACTCTGAAGCCGTTCTTCCAAATTTAGACGAAAGTTCTTATAAAATATTTACGTAATTGGTAGGTAGCTGCATTTGCTATGCCTGTAGAGTTGTACTTTATTGGTTCAGCTACTTAACACTACCTAATAGATCATCAACTTGAATTCCGATCCAATTGTCGGTATTTGGACAGGAAGCAGTAATACGGACTCTCAGTAGGAGTGAAGTAAGATAATATGAATGTGGAAGATATTCGTATCTCCCAAGCATGCGATTATCGATATGTCTACAAGCGTTATTTTATATACTCCTACTTACTTAAACCCATAGATTCTGATAAGTCACCGTAGCATATACCATACGAAGGAAGCAATGATTTATGGAGTGTTTGGGTGAAACCTCGCTTACATTTACTGGAATAGAGTTATACAGATGCAACCATTCTTCACCTTACTCTATGTCTTTAGTATTGATTGGATTTCATATATTTTATTCCTTTCGAACCATATTCTTTATATTCGCTTTCATTATGGTTGGTGTTTGTGTTATTTCTACTCATTTGATATTCATCGTGTTAATTTCATTTCAATATATTAATGCAGTGTGTCGACTTGAGTCTATGGACACTTATTTCAGGTCCTAAATTGATTACGGCTTGCTTATCCGATTGTTTAATCATTTTCAGTTAGGTGACACGAATTTGTTCCGATCTCTTCATTTCCCAAATGTCTGTCGTTTGTACGTCACCATAATACTCTTATGGTATTTCACCCTATACACTTATATTGAGCATTCCACTGACTGGGTAGAAACTAACGATCTAGATAGGAGCATCACATGTCCATCGGTGCACGATAATTTAAAACTTTGACATAAAAGTTTTTTTTAAGTAATCAGTTACTTATTCGTGTAATCAATAAAGAAGGTAGTTACATCTTTGTTGTGGAGATTTTTAAACGATTAAACGGAATTAATGTTGAATAAAAATCATAATTAGTAAATCAATTTAATTTTGACCTTTCATCCCGTCATAACAATAATGAGTCAAATTAAGTTTTTCAGAATTAATAAGCAGAAGACCGATCAATAGATAAACACGGTGATACGACGTGGGTGAGTGATGGCTGCCAATGAGATCGTATTATCGACGTAATCGCCCGAATCTCTAGAAATTACTGGGAAGACCTTACCGAATAAATCAGCTTTTCATGTAATAGAATAGCATTTTTATTCAGAATGTGAACACAAAGTAAGCGCTATAAAATATCATATACGATTGGAGGAAATTAGCTTGTAGGCAGAATGCATCCTATGACAGCTAACTGTTCTGAGTATTCATGAACAGACACCTATTAATTAGTGTTGATTTTGATTCCACATTGAGACTTGAAAAGTCTCAGATAACATAAGTGGCATCACTAACCTTCATATAGGAATGTTCTATGCTAATTTTCTGCTCTTAATAGTTACTGATATCTGACCATGGTCCATGGTGTTCAGATTTTATGAGTTGACTATGCATTATGACTTCTAAGCTAAGTTCCTTATTAATAATCCAATATTAAGTTGATTGGTTACCAAAATATCACAAATTGAATAACTTTACCTCAAAGACTATCTCGTAATCTCTTATTAATAATCTCGTACAAGAATTGTGTTGAGATAATTGGATTGAATATTTTCTTTTATTATAGATTGATTTCTTTCGAAGAATTTCTTGCATTTGAAGCTCTTCTGTGCACATGCGACTCTTTATATTCGTGGACATTCGAACTGTTCAATCGAGACGGTCTCGGGGTCATATCATTCGGTAAGTGAAATCAAGTGTTCGTATCTTCATCATGACAACATTATTCACATCGATTAAACAAGTTATTGACAAGTTATTGATTTGAGTCCCAACGTGAACATCAATACTGAGATGCTGACGATTTTCTAAATACAACGAAGCACGCGTTCTAGATTGCATTTTTGATTACATACCAAATATACTAAAACCTATGCAAAATTGCATATCAAAGCGATGCTCCAAGGATGCACATATATAACAACAGTGACTGGTTAATTATAGTTCTGAATATCAACAATGGGCAATTACAAACCATGACTAGTATTCCTTATGTTTGGTAAATTCTATCTCTGAACAAAACCGCACAAACAATAGTCCTAATTTATTCCAGTTTACTTTCACTGACAATCACAGTATATTCTATGCTCTTATATTCTGAGTTATATTTGATGACGTGTGAGATGCACAATCCCTTGGACGTAATTCTAGGTGCTGTGAAGTGCTAAAAGAAACTATTCCCAACATAACTTTTTATTCAACAGTGTCATCTTATAAAGCAACTATCTACGTCTAAAGAGATTACGACATCACCCAAAACTGGCGAACGGAACAAAAGTCAGCAACACTACGACAGGACAAGCTAAGCTAGTCCGCTGCGTCCCAGTCCTGATAACTAGAGGGAGAAGACTAGATTCAGTCGAGGGAAATGCATATTCCACAAGCAGTCGAAAGCATGAACTCATGAGTATATATACAGTGCAAAAATGTCATCCCATTTAAAATCATACAGGATCGAGTCAAATGTAGTTGTTAGCAGGGTCAACTGTAAACAAAAGATTGGAAATAAATTAAGAATAGTAGATCGTATAATGGTCGTTAGTGGGTCGAATAAAAGTTGCCGTTCATTTATTCTTTGTTCAGATATAACAGACATGTTTTCTTCGTTTATTTCACTAGCACCATCATGTTTGTCAACAGTGTTTGGTTTTATAAACGATTCAGTCATTGACACAACTCATTATTGACTTCATTTATTTCACATTTTGTTAGTGTTAACAGAAACAACCAGAAGACATTGGTTCCTACGTTGACTGGTTAAGCCTTTCATCATACGAACATATAAAAAGTTATTAATGAGGCTCCAATTGGCTAGCGCTTTTCCTACTCAACAACTTCATGTACTACTAAAACATTATGCCGATATAACAGGTTCTCAGAATAATCATAAACTTGTATAAGATTTTCAACTCTGTTTAAAAAATTATACTAAGTCTTTGTGGTAATCTTTTCTCGTTTGTTCAGTTATTGAACATATAGAATGTTCATATTGAAGTTTATAAGTAATAACAAAAACAATGTAACGACCGTGTTAAGCTACACGCGTCGAAGTCGTGTTGTTTTTATTGTATTTCCTGTTGATGATTTGGAAATCAACCAAAGTCTAAAGGCTTAGTATTTATAGTTGTGTTTTTCAAATTATGCTTTATTTAAAATTCAGACTTTTGTAATATGCTCGTACGAGTAGAATTAAATGGCCTCTGATATGCTGAGTGAATCCAGACTATCGCGTACTTGTACTCACCATAGGTGCACAGATTATAGGTGTGAGATGTCAAGAGGGACGTCGTTGATTAAAATTACTCATACAACTCATTAAGGTTTAGCTCAAATATTTGAGGGATATATATACCAATTAGTTGTGTACATCTGGATTCGGTTTGCCAATACGGTTTCTTAGTTGTTCTTTGTCACTCATGTACCACATTGACGCTGGGTATAGGAAGCATGTAATCAAATAGTCGTATGACGTAACATACTCATTTGATTAATTCCCTAGAATGTTAATAAGTAATACAGCATGTTTTGAATTTATGTGTATTTCCATTCGATAATACTTATTTTATGCTTTTGTGTTTATTTTTTACGCTTAGACAATTTTAAGAAAACACTCGATTTGACATCGATGAATAAAGATTTTAGCTTTAATTTCGATTGTGATTTCATCAACCTGCATTTTTCCAAGGATAGATCACGTAAAATTCATTACGATGAATTTACGCAAATAATTCATGTAAAATATAATTTTAGTTATATATATATATATATATATATATATATATATATATATATATATTTCAGTTGTATTGAATTGTAATTCTTTAAATAATTGCGTGACACATAGTCATTTTACCCGGACATAATTCGGTGCTTATAAAATGTTAGTTGTTAAATGATTTAATTTCAATTCACGTTACACTTGATACAATCCGTTGGCTTGTTGAAAAAGGATTTGCTATATCTAAATACTGAACGATAATGACTACGGATTGTCTACACTTATAACCCATTGAAGATTGAACTTGAAACAAGCAAAAGACCTAAAGATAGTTAATAATTGGTTTTACATGGATGATCTAGATCCTGCTACTACGGCTACATGTGACTCAAATTCTGCCGTCTATCAAAAGCACTTGTGAACAAGACTGGATATTATCCCAATTTCTATGAAAGTTTGGGAGGGAATACAGTGCTAATTATTCATCATTTTTAATCAAACTTTTAATAAACACAAACAGTATATAAGTGTAAATTTATGATATAACCTGATTGTAATTCGACAAAGACCATTCACTGAATACAACTGTTGTAGTGAACGAAACACGAGTGGGGACGATTGAATGTATTTGACACAAAATTACAGTACTTGTTAATAAAATCTAACAATCATATAGTAAATGCTTAATTTGCAAAATGTCCATCAATTGTCTCAAAATGACTCACACTTCATTGTTCTTGCATTTTCATACAAATTGCATTCTGTTTCCATTCTATGCTGTTCGATCCTCGTGTCTCTCTGCTGCCAGACATTCTGTTCACGACTAGCATCATATACTACCTATGTTAATATAAGTAGCACTCACCACACTCTTACTTATCGCCAATAGACATTCTCAAAGGTTATTTCGCAGATCAGTCTAAACTAGTGAATAGCTCCAAAACAGTAATTTAACAATTATCTAAAAACACAAGTTATTATTCAGTGGAAGTTCTCTTATTTTGTAAAATATGTGCGGTAAGCTTTTATGTAACTTGAAAAAATCAACACTGATTCAGCTATATTTTCGGATATATACATATATATAATAGAAAGTAATGAAAAATTCTCATTTCCACTGTCATTTGCTATTCACATTTTTATCGTTTCGTTGAATTTGTTACAAATCTTTTATCACAACGATTCTTCCTTTTGTCTTACTTTCGATATATTTGCATGTGTCTATGTGTGCATCAATGATATAGGATTTCAATAATGAGCATGCTATCCAAGCCTTTAAACAAATGGATCAAGATAAAACTGGAACGATTACAGTTGATCAGTTTAAAAATATTATTTTGCAGTTGAAAAGTCATTTATTGACTCCTTTAATTAGAGAAAATTTACTCACAGTAAGTATTCATAGAAGTCCATTGAATCTGTGGATTTGATTATGTTTGTTGTTATTTCTTAAATGATCCAACTTTACTAAATGTAAAGTAAACAAAATGATCTAACATAAATATATACTGGGTCTAGTTGCTGCACTTATTACTATAACGAAAATTAAACTAACGAGATCATAAAGTAATCCATTACGTTTCTGTTATGTAGCTTATATCTAGATGATGTTAAAGTAGGTTGAAAGAAAACTAGGGTTGCTCAAACTAAAACGTAACATCAGTATATAAAGTCATTGACAGCTGGATTTACGATTTCATTTTTATCTGACATCAATTAACTTTGTATGAAGACGTTTTTGTAATAATGGTACCTTAATTTAACTTAGTAAAAGTCCCTTTTGCATACTCAACCCACTCTTCCTAACGTACACACCGGTTCAGTTAAGGTGGTGTTGCATAGTCACTCCATAAACCCTGTAAGAATTGCATCAGATTAATGACTTGCTCAGCGACGAGTCTAAGTTTCCATCCTTGTTAGGTTGGCATTTGTCTTGTGAATTGATATGCCACTGATTCCTAGCTTCGATTCTAATATCTACATATCACAATTCCCCTTTATCTTCCGTTATGCCCTATGGCTCGTTAGATATCGCGCGACAAAATCGTCAGTCAGAACACTGACTTATATGACCTTTTCCCTGTGCGGAACCAATGATGCGTTCACTAGCGCGAGCAGCCTTGAGTTAACTCTGTGTGGTAGCTTTTCACCTAACCCAGTCCGTTCAGTCAAGAACACCATAATCAGCTTCCACTGTATGAATTGTATATTTCAAATATATGTAGCTTATATACAAGCAGGCCAGACCTCATTACAACTTAAAATGCAAAGTAATCATTATACAAGATCACTCCAAAAGTGGCTGTGCTGATAGGATACTTTAACTAATAAACTGGGAATAAGCTAATGATGGTAAGTCGTGACAGTAACCGATAGTTCAAATGAAAGCTTATTATAAAAGGAATACCAACATTATATATATATAAAACCTAGTTGCTTGGTAACTATCCAATAAAAATATATATAATAATAGTCTATAAATATCTCCTAGCAGTTACCATTTATTTATCCTTCTTTCGGTTATAATATCTAACCCCGACCACTCCCGAAGATTTATTCGATATAAACTAAAGAAAATTGATTTAACCAAGCAATTACAATCACTTTAAAAACAGGGCAGAAAAAAACTAGCGTACTAAAAGTCAAATGTTTAATAAGAAAATAACCTCTTAAATTACAGTGCAGATAAAATATGTTTTCCATGGGCGGGGAGATAGCAAAAAAGGATGAAAGTCCGAATTTTCAATGTTAACTTATCAAAATAAACAGAAAGCTAATGGTTTTCTGTGCATTTAACATCTTTTACCATATTTAGTAGTCAAGCAATTAAGCTTATATAAGAAGTTATCGTATGGTTTTATTTATTTAAACACAAACATTGGCACAAGGAGGCACCAAATAGATATGCGCCACACAAATCAGTCGATTTGTATGAGGACTAGGATACTTCCCGGGTGTCCAAACCGAAGCAGGTGGTTTTCTTAGTGGGCCACACTTTCAGTCTTCGACCTAAGGGTCTGATCCACAAAGCAGTGGAGCAACGTCAGAAGATGCAGTCCCATGGTAGCCGGTGACCAACGATTGGTTTCTTGCGCCATTTGTTCTTTCAGGATGCTGGAGCCCATGTGCATCATTGGTTTGAAATCAAGGTTTTCCAACACCCCTAGGTAGACCGCTTGTGTGCATAAACCCGGTTAAATCACTGGTCATCCGCCTTGCGTCCTATCAATTTCGTAAACAACACCCCCGCCGTGTGAAGTCAATGAGTAGGACTTCCCTGGCAGTAGTTATATGCACGTGGCCATGTGAGAGCATTTCAAGAGGGAGAACTGACTCTCCCCACTCTCATCCGTAACAGGGCATTTAATGTTAAATTAATATTAGTTCTTTTAAATTGACTCGAGTCAGCTAGTTGTTGTTTGCATAAATACCCTATCGTATAATGTTTCCTGTAAAGCTGACTAACTTTTTCTCCATTTTTAATTATTTCACTCATATTCCCATAATATGAGTTAAAATTGGATAAAGTGACTTAAAACTCTTAGACAATAATTTTTTTTCATTTTTCTTCTTAGTTAACTACTTGTGCAAATTGTATATCAAATTAGAAACTTAACACGTCTAACTTACTTTCTAGCAAATCCCCTTGATTCTCCATCATGCCTTACCATCAACTTCATCTAGAAGTCTTAAGTTACTGTTTGTTTTTATGATAATATTGATTAACAATCCAAATTATTTACGAATTATTCCTTGCTTATAAAATGTTTCTCAGTATAACATTCTCTCTATGCCTACTAGGTTGTCTTACAAGGCGAAATGAATGGTGGTCGTATTACCTTTGCTTATTATATGGCTTTCATTACAATCTTGACTAATATGGAATTAGTTAAAAAAGTGTATCTAAGTCGAACAAATGGGAATGCTAAAGTAGAATTAACTAAAGGTTAGTTACCAGTAGGTAGTCGTTTCATAGATACTAAATATGTTGCTCTTCATAACTTGTATTTTTGTGTACATTGTATACTTAGCTGTTAATCATTAGTTATACAAATAATAAATATCATCAGTAATTTTTAATCATTTTCATGAAGAGATTGACAGTGTATTTTTTGTCATGAATCATGATGTAACTGACAATATTGTTTGTTTAAAATAGTAATTTTACTATTAAAGAAAATTAATTGGCTTCTAAAATCTCTCACTACTATTTTGTTGTGTATACAGTTAAACAATATTCTAGGAGCTCTACATGTCTAAATGTTTAAGACCAATTGAGTATACCCAAATAGAAATATCAATTATAAATATGCATTATGCTTCAAAATATCCCAATCCACGCCCGACGAATCAAGTAGACATTTTATCATTAATTTAAAGTTACTCTCAAAAAATCAAACTCAATATTAATCGATTCATATCTTTTTATATAAAAAAACAAAGTATTAGTAAGCCAACTTACATCCTCTGTAGATTTCTCAAATAGTTAACCATATTCCTCTTACTTGGATAGTCATTTACTCAAAAGTTTACTATGGTCAAATAGTGATAATATAACTTATGACTGTCCTCAGGAGCATAGTATTTCACCACTTACATAGACTGTTAAGTTCTCAGAATTGATATCCGCGCGTGACCCGAATCACATTTGTCCAGTTGAGTAATTAAAAATTCAAAGTGAAGGTCGTATAAATAACTCAGTTAATCATTCCTACACTCTCTGTAAACATTTTACAAAAATCAGCTGATATTCTACGTTTTGGTTAATGTTTTTTATTTCTCCAGCAATGTATCATTTCTAGACAAATGCTATCGATATGATTTCACAACTATTTCAAGTGAATTATCTTATCTAAAGCCAATTATCTCCTAACCTGCAATTTTACCACTTATTGATACCACTGTGCTCTTAATCTGTTTTTATCGTCATATAAAATAATCTCGCATAGTGTTAAGCTCACCAATTCAACTGGTTACTGAACTAATATGATTTTCTTGGTCAGTAAGGTCACTACCTCACTTCCCGTAAGTAAAATATACATCTGTCGGAAGCAGTTTATTTCCAGTGATGCCATAATGTCAAACATTCGATAGTGTTATAACTTGTGACCGCAGTGACATATCGACCGGATCAATGACGCGTAAACCCGTATGAGCAGTCTAGAGTCCTGATTGGTCCTGCTTTCCGCCTAGTCCAGCCAGTTAAGTTCAGAACACCAATCCAAGCCGCTGCGACATAAATCATTTATTTCAGACATACGGGGTTTATATACCAATCAAACAGACCACAACGTACCATAAAATGGAAAACAACATTTGTACAAGATTTGGCCAAAAGTGGCTGTGTATGAGGGAGGCAGTGACTAATAAACAGGGCATAATTCAAGAATGGTAAAACGTATAATAATGGTCCATAGGTCAAAATAAAGCTTATAATAAGAGGAATATGAATATGAAGAGTTTATTTATTTAACAATTATACGACAAAAATATACTCATAGTATTAGTCCATACATGGATTCCAAAGTTACCATTCATTATGCTTATCGGGACCTAACAGATAGAGAAAATATTTTATGCAAGTTACCGTTTTCAGCTTTTCGAATTACACGAATCAAAAATTCTAAATTAGTTCCTTAAAAACTTTCCTTAATACCTAATCATCAAAAATACATTTATCGTTGATATTTTTCCCACTCTATCATTATCAGCGGTGTTTTTGTTCTCATCTCAGTTGTTTGATTCTTGGGGTCCACTAGGAATCAAGGTTGCTGGTCATAGTGGTGATTGAGTCATTCAGTCGAATTGCATCGCAGTCATATCGTATAATTCCCTATTATTCATTTACATAAGATAATTAACTGACACCTTTTGGAAAATCTCGTTATTCGTCCGCCATTGCTTAACAGGACTGATGAAAGTTGACCATAGAATCATCAAGATGGAAATCACTTCTTGATAAATCAGGGTGAAATAGAATTAAATTAGTGATTTTCAATGTTCATGACAAATATTATTAGTAGTCATCGATTCTAAACAATAGTTTTCTCATAAGCTTTCATTCAAGTATACAAGTGTTGATAAACGACCTTCAACAACGTTTTCTAACATCAACAACACTTTCGTGAAATATGCAGACGATCTCACTGTTTGTATGCCTATCTCTTCCTCTTTACATCCTATAGAAATGAACGAGTTTTTATCTCGCATTGATAGTTGGTCTGTCGTTAATGGTCTCCTACTTAATCCGTCTAAATGTCAAGCTGTTAACTTTAGCATGAGACATGATCGGCATTTAAACACCTTTTTGAGATCTCATAATGCTTGTGCCATTGGCGACTCTTTGATAAACACAGTGTCGACGGTCAATTATCTTGGTGTTACCTTTTCCTCTGATCTCTCTTGGTCTTCTCACGTTTTATTGTTATCGAGGAAAGTTTTCCGTCTGACTTACTACATTAAGAGGTTGCATGCCTTTGGGATCACTCGTCATTTACTCCTACAATTTGTCAATTCTTGCATATTACCTATTATTCTGTACTGTTCTCCGTTATTCTTTCCCCGGCTTTTGAGAAAAGACTTTGCTGTACTGCGGAGAGCGCTGAAGGCAGTTAGCAAGTTATGTGGTGAATCTTTCGAGACCATAATTAATATGATTGTGGATAGACATCTAAAGTCATGCAAACTCCTGGCAGATGTTATTTTATCAGATACTAACCATCCTCTTCACTCATATCTTTCTCCTTGTATATCTTCTGTTAGAACGAGACGAAATTACATTAAAATCCAAGCACGCAAGCAAAAGTATAAACGTTCTATAGTACCTTACCTAGCAAAAGTACTCTGTGACGAACAGGTTGTTAGAGTTAACCTAGTCAATAATCTGCATTCTTAACATGACTCTAATTGAAAAGTTGTACAGTTTTTTTTTCTTTTGTTCTGTAAAAGAAACTTGTTGAAATATTTTTGTGCTGAGAATTCTATATTGTACCAAAATATAATATTGAATAAAGCCATAAATAAACAAGACCGTTTAAAACATTTTTCTTCACCAAAATGTTTTATTGAAATAGCTTATTTGTTCTGTTTCGGCTAATTTTTCAAGAAATTTCATTTAACAAATAACAGTAAATTCTCTTGTTTTCCATTTTATTGTTGATCTTCATTAATTTGTCGATTCTAGAGGAAATGTTGAATGAAGCACAACATTTCTCTCAAATCACACCAATGGAAATGAGTATCCTATTTCAACTCATTTCACTTCTTCGGAAAGATGGGTAAGTGAAAATACTCATTTTGTCATCTCCATAATCATTTTCTCATTGGAAGTATCCAAATTCAAATCATTATAAATTCTGTTTTGATATGTTATTGTTAAATAAATAGATAAATACAAGTAGATCTCAATACTCACCCTAATCCTCATTCAAATATGTGGGGTTTACGGTGTAACACCATATTCGGAGGGAAGTACAATTCACATTAATGGTTAAGGCGTTCGAATTTCAGCCACTAAGTCCCAGGTTCGAGACCTTTTCTGTCTACCTCGGTTTGGGCAACCGGCCTTTAAGCTTAGTATGGCCCATATCCTGTGAAATTAGTTAATATAAATAAATAAAGTCTTCACCATACAAATTCAGAATTATTCTAGTGTGTAAATTATTGAACATTCCCATCCTGTAAATCAGAAGACATGATGGCAAGCAATATTTTTCCTCAATTTACTATTTATAAGACTTTAATACTTATGTGTATGAAAAATGTTAAACCGGTCAAGGCAATTCGTAAAATTAGTCAACAAGTATCTCCCTTTGTGGTTTTACCAAGAGTCAAACAAAATCAATACATGCCTCTGCCACACTCGGGTGATAGTGATCGTATATTAGATAAGACAAAAGAATTCAAAATAATTTGTTATGACTTTCAACTTTATATGGTTCAGTCTTATCTTTTACACAGAGCATAGACTGTAGGGATTCGAACCAACAACCCTAGTGCTTGATAAAATTTATAATCTTTGTCTTTTTTGACCACAGGAATCTTTATGAACGATCTTCATAATTCTTCTCATCCTTTACTTGTTTCCCCTTACTTTTTCCGTTTATTTTCACTACTTGCATATTTATAGTGATTATTCACAAGGTATTGCATAATATTGATAATTATTATTTTATTATTATTATTAATAATGACGATTCTACATAGTAGATGATTTACAAACAATAGATAGATGTTTACTTACTCTTGGAGGCGCAGCACGAAGAAAGTCTGATCTTAACGGTAACCTAAAATGTCATTTCTTCCCAGTGCCAGATTAGTTCCAGTGTTCGTTCCAAAAATTTGCTACCAGCGACATTACAATTTAACAGCTAGTCAGTCAGTCATATAGATGAAAACCTCACTATATATATATATATATATATATATATATATATATATATATATATATAGATAGATAGATAGATAGATAGATAGATAGATAGATAGATAGATAGATAGATAGATAGATAGATAGATAGATAGATAGATAGATAGATAGATAGATAGATAGATAGATAGATAGATAGATAGATAGATAGATAGATAGATAGATAGATAGATAGATAGATAGATAGATAGATAGATAGATAGATAGATAGATAGATAGATAGATAGATAGATAGATAGATAGATAGATAGATAGATAGATAGATAGATAGATAGATAGATAGATAGATAGATAGATAGATAGATAGATAGATAGATAGATAGATAGATAGATAGATAGATAGATAGATAGATAGATAGATAGATAGATAGATAGAATACTTTACGAGATATAGTAATCAATAGACTAAGTGTCAGTTGCGTAACACTGTCATGTCACAATATTATTGAAGTATGAAAAGTTACAATTATGGTAGTTGATGTGGCACTCTAAGATCTCATAAAATTGATTCAGGTCAGTCGCAACACCTTTGTTGAAATATTCATGCTATCATGCTGTTCTTATGACGATTGTCATTACTACTGCATATGTCATCAATTTTCATCTATTATCAGTATTGGGTTGTGGAGATTGTTGATTTTTGATTGAGATCGTGAATCGACCAATGTTAGACCACCATTGTAAACCTTGAAGCACTGGACGGCCGTTTCGTATATTATATACTTGTGTAATTAACTTGTTTGCTTATCATTTACTCACAAAAATATTCCAGTTCACCCAATATTTTTCACATACATAAATTAAAAACAAGATTGTTCGCTTATGTATCTTATACGGGTTTACCAAGAAATTCTTGTTTACATATAAAAACATTTTACGATTGTCATTCAGCATTGTTAGATCGCTGTGTCGCTTAAAATGTCTATCACACTGACCTGTATTAAGTTAATAAACCGTTAAAATAAGAATTACTTGGCAATTATTAAACTACTTGACCAATGATATGTTGAAAAATAAATTTGTCCTCTGTTATAAATGTAACATGCATAACATTGCTTTTCAGTTTCAATAGATTCTTGACTACTTATAACCAATACCGGAATCAACGTGATAAAACCTCAGTTTCTGACTGTGTGCTTTAGATGGAATGTCCATAGGTGCTTATTTATTCCTTCTGTCGATTGCTTTAAAAAACGAGGCATAAACTATCTGTAATTAGTATACCACAATCGAATTTTTATTGTCTTTACTCCGTTATTCAGTGTTCATCGAATTCCGTAAATAACCGCATCAAGCACGCAAACAAAGTCTGTTGAATAAAATCTATTTCCCAAAATTCTTTACCACATTCACTACATATCAGAAATTTTTCACTTTGCAACTTTAAAAGGTCAAAAGCACAGTCTAATAAAACTACAATAGACATGCTCTATGACTAGCTAATGTCGATGAATAGCTGTATATTTCGTTTTTGTTTTTTTCTAATTCTCAGACGCGTTACTTATCAAGATTTATGTGCTATTACCCCCGTGGAAGACAATTCTATGTCACACCATATGCAGGCTCGACTTCAGGTATGTTCGTTGTTAGTCGTTTTATTTTGATCGTCAAGTAACCTAATCAGCATATTTTTGTTCTTCTTACGGTACACTATTTAACCATTGCTCCAAAATCCTTTCAAATATGTAGAATGACGGTATAGATGAGTTTCCTTTTATTATAATTCTTCAAAATGCTTCTTTATTTTCGGTACACTGCTACTATGTTTGTTAAAGCTTTTTTTCTACCTTATCCATACAGCCATCATATTACTTCTCCTTAAGTTAGAGGTTTAAAGCCATCAGTTATTAGGCTTCTTAAGTCTTTCCCTGCACTGCACCTCGTTTCTTGTGATGTATCAATTATAGCTGTCACTAAGCCGGTTGCTGGTAGAGGATGTCTTTTAAAATCAGCAAGTTAGTTCTTCTTTCTAAACCACAATAGCTCCAAGATTTTTGTATAGAATCCCAATCACGTTCTATGATATTGCCAACATAAGCCAGAACTTCAATCAGAATCTTCCTTACTTATACTGCTTTAGTGGACTCTGTCTACTTAAATAAATCAAACCTGAGTGTCACTGTCGTTTTATGTCAACAATTCAAGTTCCCTTACATTATTTAAATTAAAAAAAGGCTAGATATCATCAATCCCTAAAAGAATGTGTGATTACAAACTGATTAGTGAAACCATCGACAATAAAGTTTTGATTGTTTTACGAAACTACATTCCTCCCTCTCGATTTATTTGACTTTTTCACGCCGCTTCATCACAACAGTAAATAGTAGTTTATGATTTTAAACATGCAACAGGTAACCAACTTCTTTTAATGTTATATTTTATGATAATGGTAACTCAATTCCTAAAGCGTTCAGCCTCCAACCACTATGTCTCAAGTTCGAACCTCGAGCTCTGTCTACTTCAGTTTGGGTAACCGAATAGTATTACTAGTATTCATGCTTATGGTATTTCTCGAAACCAAGTGCACAAATCCGTATCTGATAAATGAATGAATAACGAAATTATCTTATAGTCGTTAATTGTTATCCTTTTGAGGGGCCATTCATTTAGATGTCAGTTAGACCGGACGATGTTGTCGACGCGCTCCCCACTTTAGTAGCCCGGGATCTGACTCCAATTACATCATATGAATGATTGCTGTCGAGATGTAGATGTCGCCTACCCTCGTATATAATCATCGAATTAAATTGCGTTAGTCAATAACAGAATTAAATAAATAAAATAACGAGAATGGACTATTGAATACACATATTTTGTATATGAAGCGCATGAAATAGAGCGGAGCGAAACGACGCGCAGTGGAGATGGCGGGTAAGCCAACTCCATTTAACCAAGCGTTAATCAATTTTTATTTTATTTTAACACATAGATATTGGTACAAGGAGGCACCAAATACATATGCGCCACACGAATCTCAATTGATTTGTGTGAGGGCTGTGATACTGCCCGGATGCCCAGACCGAAGCAGGTAGTTTTGTTAGGGGGCCACACCCCGAGCCTTTGACCTGAACGTCTGACTCACAAGGCAGTGGAGCATCGTGAGGAGATGCAGTCCCATGGTAGCCGGTGACCAACGATTGGTTCATACGCCATTTGTTCCCGCAGGATACTGGAGCCCATGTGCACCATTGGTTTGGGGTCCGGTTAAAGCGCCAGACATTCGCTTTTCGTCCTCTCATTTTTGTAAACAACACCCCCGCCACGAGAAGGCAGTGAGTAGGACTTCCCTGGCAGAGGCTATATACGCATGGCCATGTGAGAGCATTTCGAGAGGGAGAGTGGACTCTCCCCACTCTCGGCCGTACCAGGGCATTTGGGGGCCTTAGTTTTTTTTTATTTATAGTCACACAAAAATAAGTTACAGACATGTAATGAATAGAATAAGAAGGGCACACACGTATGCGTTCATATAAAAACAGTCAAGTTTGATAAGCGAATAATTAACAAGGTCAAAATGTAACTCAGCCAGAATAAATAGATTGGCTTGTCCGAAAGCTAGAATAAGATATATAGGCTTAACATAATAACCGATACTACACTTTTTTAAATTGTTGCTCAAGTTTGTAGTTATAGTAATTCAACTCATCACTATTGTTTGTAACCTAATTCTAATGGTTTGGTTAGTTACGGATTTTAACACTTTAGTTGGTTTATTTGTCATTTATTTCAAAATAAAATATTTTGTACTTCAACTTTTTTATGCCCGGTGGTTTACATAGATGAGTTTATGCATAAATATCACATTGTATTTTTAACAATACAGTCGTGTTGTAGAAATATATTACCATATTTCTAGTTACCGAATAAACTATGTCTTATTGCCCCCAAATGCCCTGGTACGGCCGAGAGTGGGGAGAGACCGCTCTCCCTCTCGAAATGCTCTCACATGGCCATGCGTATATAGCCTCTGCCAGGGAAGTCCTACTCACTGCCTTCTCGTGGCGGGGGTGTTGTTTACAAAAATGAGAGGACGAAAAGCGAATGTCTGGTGCTTTAACCGGACCCCAAACCAATGGTGCACATGGGTTCCAGTATCCTGCGGGAACAAATGGCGTATGAACCAATCGTTGGTCACCGGCTACCATGGGACTGCATCTCCTCACGATGCTCCACTGCCTTGTGAGTCAGACGTTCAGGTCAAAGGCTCGGGGTGTGGCCCCCTAACAAAACTACCTGCTTCGGTCTGGGCATCCGGGCAGTATCACAGCCCTCACACAAATCAATTGAGATTTGTGTGGCACATATGTATTTGGTGCCTCCCTGTACCTATACTTATGTGTTAAAATAATAATAATAATAATAATAATAATAATAATGTCTTATTACCTTCTATGATAACTAGGGAAATTCTGGAAATAATATAAATGTACCTCGTGGAAGAAGTGTTTTAATGTCCATACTTGAACAATGTTATCGGTTCACTTTAGGCTCAATTGCGGGTGCATTTGGAGCTACTGCCGTCTATCCAATCGATCTTGTTAAGACAAGAATGCAAAATCAACGTGCTACTGGATCAACTATGGGTGAACGTATGTATAAAAATAGCTGGGATTGTTTTCGTAAAGTTATTCGGTAAGCTCTTAAAAGTGTATTTTTTTATAATTTTCATTGAGATGATCACCTCTTTAGGTTAAATCCAATGATTCCATTTTGAAAGTTTTACCAGTCGGAGCTGTTTCCCGGCTCACTATTTTTTAATTGGTTTGGTCACATACTTTTCGTTAATTAAATTCTTGTGACTGAGCACTTACACCTTTGTAATTAATTCGTACATTTTATCTTATGTGGTTTATACAACAATATCACAATATTCCAATTCTAATATATTTTTATTGTTTAAATTACAGACTGATCTTAGCTAAACCATCAGTGAAAACTAAGAGCCACCAGACAGCTGACTCGTCCTAGTAGGAGACTTCTCAGTAGTTCACATCCTTTAGTTCTTTGTGACAAGTAATAGAGTTCAACCATGTTGAGTGTGAGACAGTTATCCACTGTAGACAATGTAAATTAGTCACGCAATATGGCGGGTCGATCAAACTCAGAAATCCACACCACTGAATACCTTCTCAATGATTTGGAGATTAAGCATTTGGACAAAGCCAACGGTCCTGGGTTCAATCTCTGATGGAATTACGATTGCTCACTTCTGAACAGTCTTACACTAGGACGAATCAGTTATTCAATGCTTTCTGGTTTACCTTGACGGTCTAGCTAAAATCAGTTTGTGATTTAAGCCGTGAAAATTCTACACTCCATAAAGACTATATACTGGTCGCAATATTTATAAATTATGTCATATAGAAGACAACTGGTATGTCGACACATTCGTAGGTCACTTTTTATGATGCTGCACTTTCCACATTACTATAACTTCGGAACTCTAATCAATTTCTAGATAGTTTTAAATTCTAAAGTCATTTTTTAAATCGTATTTGACAGGATTTATTTTTCGAATAATCATCTATCACAATAGCCTAAGTCTATACACTCTTTGTCTTCCCCTAAACTGTGAGATTAATTCTTTCTTCCTGTATGATATTCTTATGTGCAATCTTTCTTTTATATATTACTACCATTGAAGTAACTACTATGAATTTGGTGTTCAGCTTGTTGTGCTAATAAGGTGTGGCAACTTAAACCGATGCATATATGTGCCTGGTCCTACGTTGTAGCTCACTGACTGATATCAAAACTCACTAAACATATTCACTTCAAGGTAACTAGTGTATATAGTTTCTTAACCTTTTCAAAAGTAATTCAAAGTGTATACATATCCACATTAATACTTTCCATTTCTTGTTAATCTTCTGTGACTTTTTAAATTGATTTAATAGTTGAATTCATGAGTCAACTGGAATTATACCACTATGAAAAACCTGGAAGCACTGGATGTCCGTTTCGTCCGAGTATGGGACTCCTCAGCAGTGCGCATCCATCACACTAAAATTTACTGAAAGATATATATTTTGTTCATAGAAAAATCTATTGTAACTACACTTGTTCTTACAGGATGTACATACGTTTGTAAATAAAATATTATTCTGGTGTAAATGTAAGTTCTACAAGCTGGCAAAGATCTATAGATTAAAACAATAAATATTAAGCCACTCTTTAATTTAAAACAATTAGTCCCTTTGATAAATTTCGACAACGCAACGAAAAGACGAAGATTATCAGAATTATGTGATGTATTTGCGCAGTACATTTTTATATGAAAATTAAAAGGTCAACTAGACAGATTAAAGGTATGCCATAACAAAAATAATAATAATAATGAAGTACATAAAAACAATGATTATCACTCTGGATAATAAATCTGTATTATCAGGGTAGGTTAAAGGTAAGAACAAATTGTTTTTGAACACATAAAGATAGTTTCAGTTTCCACAAGGCCAAGGCTTCAATAAACCTTAATATACGTCCTTGAAGGTTTTTGTACAACACTACAAAGGCTGACTTGATATCAACATTATGACCAGTCTCAACAAAATGTTTCTCAATGGAGGAAGATGTCTATCCTGTGATCTTATTTGACCATTGGAATTCGTTTGTTTCTGTAGCCATTTGGGTATGTGTCCCGCTCTTTAATCTGTTTTTCAATAAATTTTGATTTAATGTTGTTGTTTTTCTCTTACTTTTACTTCTTCATTGTTCAGATTATAAGACATCAGTCGTAAAACTAAATGTTGAATGTATATTTTCTTACTTTTAAAACTGTCAGTAATTTCTTGAATTTGACTACATTTCTCCCATTGTCTATGTGTCCAATAAATTCGTTAGTTTAACAACTCATTTTTAATAAAAAGAATAAAATTTCAAGTATTCTTTAGCTTATAGTAAATTGGGATTATCATTTTAATGTGTAAGTAGTTAGTTTATTTTATAATTATAAATTATTTCATTAATTTAGTTCATTTGTATTAATCTTCCAAAATTATCGATCATTGGTCTTCTGATAGCTTTGCTCGGCGATCTATCCGGTTGGTTATCAGTCGTAAATTTTTGCCTAGTAACCGGTTATTATATTTGAGTAATGTGATGTACGAATGACACAAGTTCATATGCTTATTTATTAACTAAATGATGTCGTCAAATGTAGCGATCCCTGATCAATTAGTTGCATAATTTTACTGTTAAAAAATGCACATCATAGTTTAACTTCATAAAAACTTTTAGCCTCGTGATTATTACAACTAACAGTGGAGAATATTTGTAGCTCAATATAATAATTTTGGTGATATTATGTCTCGTTGATTACATCTCTAGATGTCCAATTAATTAGTTTGATTTCCGTCCCCCAAACAGGTCAGTTTGTTCTTAGGAAAGTATAACCTTCACTATCTCAATTATGGTTATATTTTTATCCATACTATTCCCTCAATATCTTGTATATCTTTTTCATCCTGTATTTTTAAGATTTGAAGGTTTTTTCGGTCTGTACCGAGGTTTAGGACCACAGATATTAGGTGTTGCACCAGAAAAAGCAATTAAACTTACTGTCAATGATTTAGTTCGTGATCAATTTACAAAACCGAATGGTGATATTTCAATATATGCAGAAATATTATCTGGAGGTTGTGCAGGAGCAAGTCAAGTAATTTTTACTAATCCTTTGGAAATTGTAAAAATACGACTTCAAGTTGCTGGAGAAATCGCTAATACAAGGCGTCTATCATCCTTCTCAGTAAGATATGTATTTCAGTTAACCTTTATGACTTCTCTGGTATAATATTTATACAGGAACTCGAACCTATAAACCCTCAATTGTCTGCGACCAACTAATTGACACTATGTGATGAGTCACACCAGCCTTTTTCGTATTTTAAAGTTAAAAAATGAAATCTCAAAGAACAGAATAAAACCAATCGTAGATTGTAGACACATGAATTCATTAATTTTAATGTCTAAAAACTGCGCACAAGCATGATTTAATTTCCCGATTGTTTCCAACATTGATAATAAACTTGTTGGGTATCTGGATCACATGTACTTGTATGCATTTAAAGACTAGATTAATCCTTTCTGATTAACATTCCTATGTTTTATATAATAGATGTTCATTGACATCTATCATGTGGTTTTTAAAAGTAGTTCCCAGTGAGGTTGTTTAATTAGATGCTTATTTTCAATCATTTATTAATATTTAAACGAAGTTGTTATTGAAAATACATTTGTTTCTTCTCAAAATTAAAGAAAAATAATTCGAACACTTTAACTGCTAATCTAAATTTGCCATTAATTGAAGTTTAAACAGTTAGTGATCGTAACAATGTTATGAAACTGATATTATTCTATTGTCTCTAACAGTGTAAGAATATTAAATGTTGGACTACGTACATACAGAACCTATACAATCACTATGAACAATTATAGTTTTTAAAAACTACCAGAAACAGTTTGATGACCATTCTCAACTTATCTGTTCTTTTTCGTTTTGTACTGTAACAGGTTGTCAAAGATTTAGGACTTTTCGGGCTTTACAAAGGATCACGAGCTTGTTTTTTACGTGATATCCCTTTTTCAGCTATATATTTTACTTCATATAGCCATTTAAAAAAGTATTTTGCAAATGAAAATGGTTGTAACTCATCAACAAGCTTACTAATGGCTGCAACAATTTCTGGAGTTCCTGCAGCATTTTTAGCCACACCAGCGGATGTAATCAAGACAAGATTACAGGTACTAATTATGTACTTCACCTACCTTTTGATCACGTTTGTTACCTACTGATTTGTTTATTGTATGTAATCATTGATTATTCAGTTATTATGAATTGTATTGTGAAATGTATTCAATTCATATCCACTGTATTGATTTGAACGAGATATTGTTAAATTGACATTAATCACATGTAACAATTTGATTTCTCCGACAACTTTCACTTTAGTGTTCATCAAAATTACAGTTAACAAACTATCTATAAAAGAAAACAAGTTGTTTTCAAGCACTAACAGTCTCGTCCTTATTACTTCTAAATACTTAATCTTTCAAATCATATTAATGAGTAGTATAATTTATCATACAAAAAAGGAACGAACAAGCAATAAATTAAATTATAAGGTGTAGACCGAACATATGTTTATCACTTAACTTAAGTGAAAGTTTCTAATCTCTAAAACGATATACTCTTTGTTCTTTTCAAGAACTGAGATCTCATTCTTGTTAATAAACTGGCTAAATTGTTTTAAAAAGTAAATTGAACTGAATTTGCTTTTAATTAACTTAAAAATAGCACTCGTAAGATAAATTAAAAACCAGCACCGTCTTATTATACCAGATTGTGGGAAACGCGTGAAGAATCAAACCCAAAGAGAGTATGGCCAATATTGTTCAGATTCTCAATGCATAACTACTGCAATATTAGGCATTAGATCTACCTTTGAATCGTTATTCAGAACTATGTTTGTTGTCTTTCGGGGAAACTGTTCATAGGAAAGATCTACACAAATGTAGAGGAGCGTGATCATCAGTTGAGTTCTGAAAGCAGCTTTGGAGTGAGTACACAAGGATAGTGTAGTGTCTGTCATTATGTTAAGCCCAAATACCTGATTATTCTAACTTTCGGACAGACCATTCTATTCATTCTATTTGAGTCACATTCTGACCTTGTTAATTATTCGCTTATCAATGTCTTGACTGTCTTTGTATGAGCGCGTAGGCGTATGTACACTTCTTATCCCTTTACTCATCACATGTCTGTAATTTATTTTTGTGGGCTTATAAATATTCATTAACTCTTGGTTAAAGGGAGAGTTGGCTTACCAGCCATCTCCACCGCGCGCCAATTTAGCTTCGCTTTCTAATCTTCGCATCGTTCCTCCGTTCGTTTGTCTAATCAACAATTATACGAAATATATGCATTCGAAACTCCATTCTCGTTATTTGACTTATTTAATTCCGTTATTAACTAACGCGATTTAAGTCAATGATTATATACGAGGATAGACGATAGCAACCAATCATTACGATCAAATTGGAGACAGATCACGGGCCACTAAAATAGTATAGATCTGTTAACTTGAAGCAAAACTGTTCTACTGTGACCAGGTTAAATTGTATTGCGTTTATATCCAATCATTTAAATGCTGTCAAAATCCCGTGTAATCACTTACTGGTTAGCAGGACTATATGCCTTCTTTCACTCTTAGTAACCAATCTTTTGGAGTAGTCACCAAAAAGCCCCTATATTTAAGCGGTTGCTCTTACATTAGTACAATAAACAATACCACTCCTGGTGCTGTTTAAATGGTTAAATGGACGTCTGTCAATCTGGACTAATTTCTGCATCATTTAAATATAAAATTTCAGTTGTACAGAAAATATTTTCAAATAAAACTCTGGTAGGAAGGTCTTAAAAAAACTGACAAATCATCATGTTTTTAAGTTGTAATATACGATTAGATTATATCATTATAACTATAATTCGCTATATTTTACTAGGTTGTAGCGCGTACAGGTCAAACAACATATACAGGAGTAATTGATGCGGCTAGAAAAATTTGGCGTGAAGAAGGTGGTCGGGCATTCTGGAAGGGATCTGCTGCCCGTGTATTTCGATCTAGTCCACAATTCGGAGTGACACTTTTATCATATGAAACACTTCAAAGATATCTCAACTTTGATTTTGGTGGAAGGTACTTTTCACATTTCATCGGCCTTTTCTCTGTTTGTATATAGTTCTTGTCCATTTTTTCTCTCGTCTTTGATTTCGCTTAATCGTAAAATTTTCTGTACATTTGTGTTATATTTCAGAATTAATAATTTAACCCATATGCGACGTAGTATATTATACTTCTTTGATTAAATTACATCAATAAATAATGGTTTAAGGAGCTTCGACCTATGACAGTTATGGTCATGAATCATTTATTGATATTCCAGGAAATTTTTATAATAGTCGGTGTTACTAATAATTTCTATGATGTATTTATATCAACGACTCTTAGTAGCTCTCGGAGTTGAAATTGGAAAGATTCAGAACATTTGTAGCTAAAAATCGGAATGGTGGAGGTGTTTTAATCTCTGAGTTGGTTGGTTTGTTTTTTGGATCTTCTGAACGATGCCATCGGTACATACCTCACAACCAAACCATCCAGACTACAAACCATAACACTTGCAACGTCAATCGAATTTGCCAGTGACATGGGTATTGAAGTAGTCTTCTAAACTAAGCTGCTATTCTCAATTGGGAATGCAACTATCTAAATAATATAAATCATTATATCTGAAACTGAATTCACAACAAACAAGTATTCTAATGTTTATGTACAATTCAATTTCAAATCGTCAATCAATTGACCTGTACCAACTGGGAGTTTAAGTTTCTTGATGCAAATAGGAGATATTTACACCACCCTAGTGAGAAACATTCAATTACAGTATACACTGATTAATAGTAATCAATACGTATTTTGCTTGTGTAGTTTTTTGAGCTGATAAAATGTTATTGACCAAGTTACATTGTGATCTTTAGCATAAGTGACTCGACATCTCTTACGTAATAATTCAGTGTTATTTGGTTAGATGTGGTAATAGGTTAAGAAATTGAGATCTTGATTGGCACGATTTATCTCTGATTATTATAAGATAACCATATATTAATTTTTAATTAGTTCTTCAACCTATTATTATTTTTTCTCATTAATGATGTTACTATAAACCTAAAATTTACTCATCATTCGAAAACTAATCTGTTTTTTAGAGAACTCTCTGGTAAACCAATTAATCGTCATACTTCAGTATTTCCAACTAATCCTGATCATATTGGCGGTTATCAATATGCAACAACCACATTTTGTGGTATTGAATCACGTTTAGGATTATGCTTTCCAAAATATGCATTGAATTAAAATGATTTGTTTTGTTAATTTGTGCGCCTTCATAATTCAATCTCGGTTGGAAACATATTATTTCTATTGAATTTCTTTTTTCTTTTTTTATCTAACGTGACAATAATGATGAGTCCTTTTTGTAAACTGTATTTTATTACAACTCTCAGGTGAACTAGGTTTTGCATAGAAAGCATATTCTATAAAGGTATTAGATTGGCTTATGATAAGCAAACTATCCATATTTATATACATATACACAACCTTTAACGTAATATTTGATTAATATTTCTTCTGTTCATAAATGTTGTAATGAATGTCAAAAATATAGGATATATTCACATTTGTTCACCTTGTTCTCTTTCTATCCTTAACTTGCTTTTTTTTCTGTATTCACTATAGACATCATAAGACTACAATTGAAAGGTTCACTTTGTCTACGTTATTATGTTTTTTGTCATATCTATGAATAAAGTATTCTGTTATTTTGCGTTCTCTAGCACTATGGTGTTTATTATTCTTTTTTTTCTGTTTTATTACATAAATATCTTCCAATCCAAGGTTTAACAGAATATTACCAGTGGTCATTTCGCTAATTTATGGTGTTATTTTATTCCATCTCATTTCATTAATATACCTTTTAATTGTACAATCAACAGTATATTAATATTTCTGTTACCTCTCCTGGATTATTACTGATACTGTCACATCATCCGATATTTTTCAAGGGTAATGACATCTAACATAACTTAAGATTATTGTTTTCAAATTTCACACAATTTTATTTTATAATAATTACGAACAAGTATTTCCCAGAAGACGTAACGACTACAATTGTACGTACTATTTCCTTACTGTTGTACTTTATTTTTCTGCATAAAATATTTAAATAATGGTGTAACGTGTTTTCATTTGGATTGTTTTAATTCTTTCTACCATAGTTACCTAAACTGTTGTACTTTGTGTCACATGCTTGTATTATGACCATACGCTTATCTGAATATTTACGAGGGGGAGTACCATACAACCACAACATCTTCAACGTAAATTGAAATTATTAGTGACATGAGCACTTAAGTAATCTTGTAAAATAAGCACCTACTCTTAACTAGTAATGCAACTATCTACATAGTATTAATCATTAAATCGGAAACTGAATTTGCAATAAACAAGTATTCTAACATTTATATCCAATCCAATTTCAAATTATCAATCATTTGATGACCTGTACCAGCCAGTTGGAATAGCCAACCCAACTCTAAACGTATCATTATGGTAGGGGGGGATATAATTAGATTTTAATTTAAGAACGTTGTTAAATAATAAGACACCATCCAACAACATTTTCATTGTATCTCTTTTCTAAGTGTTATGCACTTCTTAATATATTGTTCATGTAACACATTATATTAAATTTATTAGAATAATTTTACTTATGTCGACTTCTATGAATTTAAACAGCGTCTTATTCACCCGGATCAAGATAATCAGTTGTTTTCCTTATCCATTGCACTTACTCTATCAGGCACTGAGTACACTGTGTATTACTTAATTCTAGTATATGATTATAAAATATTGACTATGGATCTAGTATAAATATATATGTTCCATAATAAGTAAATTATGATCGTGTTTAAACAAAACTTTAGAAGAAATGACCAGGTTTTAAATATGTGTCTATATCAATTCTCTTGATTTACAACATTTATATGCTTTACTGGGGTTTTTCCAATATGTTATTGAAAATCATCGTCATATGGACAGATGAGTTATTAGTTTCACAACCTTAATTGCTGGAACTCATCATCACCTCTTATTGTGGAGTCATTGAGATTTGTGTAAATCTATCAACACTATTTTTGGGTACATGAATGTCGCTTTCACTAATTGTTGCATACAAGTTAAACCAGGGTTTCACCTTCATTATGGCTCATCGGACTTATTTACTTCCATCTATGTTTCAATTATACATTCCACGATGTGATGTTGTAGACCATTCAACTAAAAGAACACTTATTCCTTACATTACACTTAAAGCAAAAAATCACTTGTAGGGATATATACTTCATTCTTTTTTAGGTGATTTTTATTTATTTCATAACCGAAATTGAACTGATAAATTTAATTCACATGGTAGCGACAAAGTCATTCGATACTTTAATCCAACTTTATCAAAACTCGATTGTTCCTAAATTCTCCATACTATTATGGAAAAAATTTTAGCCTGTCTCGATATTTCAATAAAAAGCTATCCCGTAGATGTTAACCAGTTTAGAAAGGTGAATGACTACGATTGTTTCTCCATCCTTAAATAAGACACTTACGCATATATTTCAAATCTTTTAACACGATTAGCGTATTGTGTGATTAGTGATTTATCGTGTCGCAACTCAGACTTTGAGTGATTGTGTACTATTCGTGAAACGTGATTCCTCTGTGTTTCGTATGTTAAACAGGTTCTCACTTTGGTTTCCCTATTTAGCATAAAACAACCGTTTTGATGTTCTATGATTTTCATCAGTTAACTATCCAACTGGATAACTCTTTTAAAAATCTATCTTTTTGGAGCTGTCATTGTCTTAAGAATGGTTATTATAAATAGCAAAACACAATTGTCTCTTGGACTCTATTATAACTGTTTGTTTGATTATGTCTACTCTATTTTATAACAATTTTCAGTAAAACATTTTACTTTTAATCAACTAACTACTTGTAAGTAGTCAATATAAAAATATATATTAAAGCAAATGACAGTCTAACTAATAAATTATTTTACGACCTATATAATCTATTACTGAATTTAAAACTTTTTTTAACAAAAATTAATATTTAAACTAGAATATAATAAAAGTTAAGTTATAAAAAGACATTTTTTATCACAATTCTTTCATATTCAATGTTGCAAGTGATTCAATCCATAAATAATGTTTTAATACATCTATTGAAATTGTTTTATTTCCTGATATAAATAAATTTATTATTTTCATATTTTCATTTATTAAATGAAAACCATTTATTGAAAACCAAAATTCTACATTAAGTCTTGGATCTATATTTAAATTAATAAATAATTCTGGTGATTTTGATTCAATTATAATTTCATAAATATGATTGGTTAAAAATGGTGCCATTTTTTGAATATTGAATAAATTATTCATTATATTCAATAATTTTATTGATTTTATTTGTAAAGTTTTTCCAGCATTTTTAGGCCATTTTTTAATTTGTTTTGGTTTATCTAATAATAATAAATTTCCATCAGATATTATAGAATCTGAATTATTTTTTATAATAATTTGAATTATTTTACCATTTCTATTATTAAAATGACATAATTTATTTAAATCATTTAAAGATTTATTTAATATATTTATTGGACATTGAATAAAATGTTTTATAGAAATGTTTAAAATTCCACGATATGTTGGTATAAATGACCGAATTGTATAACAAATTAATTCAAATTCAATAGGAAATATATCATTATTATTGTGATTATTTTTTATATTTGGTATCCAATCAGCTTCAATTATTTCATTATTATTAATATGTATAGCTATACGTCCCCATTTTGTTAAATCATAATATTCTCTTATAGCATTATAATGGGATAATTTCCATTGACCAACTGAATCTATAGTTGACCAACTAGGTGTTGACCAAATATCATTTAATTGCCAATATATTGTACCCATTGTAATAAATTTATTTGTTGATATAATTGTAAAATTCGTTAATTTTAATCGACATTTATGCCTCATGTATAAATTGATTTGAGTACGTAAACACATGAGTTGATTTAATTGACTTACATATGCCCATCTAAAATAAATAATAATAATCATTTTATTAACAATTATGTGCTAATTTTAACTATTAACAGTATATATACTTAAGAGATCTCAATGATCTCAATTAAAAACTTAATAATCTTACTGGTGACTAGATCTGTGAAGTAATTCTTGGAGTTATAGTGAGCTATTCCGTGTCGGGTAGAGATAAGTATCTACCTCAGTACAATGGAAGATGGTCACGCTATTTCGTGGATTGGTTGAAGTTAGACATTAACACCATTGGATACTGGCTCAGTGGTCTAGTAGGTTAAGTATTCACGCGCGAGACTAAAGGCCGTGGGTTCGAATCACGGCAGCGGATAGTGGATGTGCACTGATGAGTAGTCCCACAATAGGAAGAAACGGCCGTCCAGTGCTTCAAGATTTCTTACGGTGGTCTAACATCAACCGGTTTATGACCTCAATTAAATACTTAAGTGATCATTATCTAAACAACTATACATAATCAAAATATTTAATTACTACCTATTCTCAACATAGATCACTTTAGTATTAATCTGACACAACTCTTGTTTAACACATTGAAAAATGTAACATGATAAACTTAATTCATAACAACTTGAATTGATTTTTGAATCGTAGATTTGATCTTGAGAAATGTATACTACGTAGAAGTGTAAAAACAGAATATAATAAATTCTTAATTATATATAATTATCAATTAGTATTGGCTTAGCTTCATTAAATACTAATAATTAACCAACCTATAGCCTTTTTTTCATTCAATGATATAAATGAAGATTTTTTCAGTTAGCCTTTTCAACCAATATATATATATACATATATAGGCGAGATACTAAAAAGTAACTGTGATCAGTAATAATATGTTCTATTTTGATGGGACACAAAAAATAACAGATTACCTAATTCGAGCATAAATCAGGTCAATATATTGGATTAACTCAGAAAGCAAATAATATATTTAGTTGACTAAAGTTAACTTGTTCTTATTAATCTTTATACTAATTGACTTGATAATCCCTACTATACAATATTCATATAATTATGCATACACTTTTGAACGAAATGTGAAACGCAAATTAATTTAATATTCATCTTACCGACTGTAATTACGAATCGGATCTTGTCTATTTGCTGGTTCCGTAATATACTGAAGAGCTAATCTGAGCATTTGATGACCTAATGGATGATGTTGCCTATGGTCCATCAGTGAACCGAATACATCCCATAGTTTTGGATTCGATATATTTGAAATCGATCTGGCCCAAGCTAATGGAGACGGAATGGATTGTATGCCGAATTCTGATATAAAACGTCCTAGCAAATAATTAGATTCTGACCATAAATCACCAAAATACATGTAATAATGTATATCACCATATAGTGGATTCTGCAGAATAATAAAAATACGCAAATTTATCTATATGCATTCACAAACCTTCCACCAAAGACAACGGAAGATCATCGCTTAATATTGTGAACACCTATAGGTCCCGGCTCAGTGATCTAGAGGTTCAGCGTTTACGCACGAGACCGAAGTTCCTGGTCCTAGGTTCGATTTCCGCGTGTGGGATCATGGATTCGCACTGCTAGTGAATCCTACAACAGGATGGAACGGCCATACAGAGGTTCTAGTTTTTCAACGGTGGTCGAATACTGATCGGTTCACAACTTCAATGAAACTCAACAATCTTCACATATCTATACTTAAAATGTGAAATACACTGACAAGTCAGTCCAGTAACGAAATTCCAAATGCCAAAATATCCCAGTTGGTGAAATTAAAGACAATCATTGTTTCAACGTTTGACGAAATTCTGGTACTGTGTTATTTAGTCTAGTTTAAGAGTCTTCAGTAGAGTTAACTATCAAAATTGTTTGTGTATAAACTTGAAATCATCAATCCACATTATTTGAATTCTAGAAAATTATAGTTTGCTTTCTAAAATAAATAAAAATTGACTTATGTAAGTCTTAAACTAATCATTTTGTATTGCGTAGAATTAAACATCTATATTCATGCAATGACTATCTTTCATACTAAATAAAACAGCAATGATTGCCATACTTTCGTCGTTCTAAATCGATTTCATAGTAATGATTCCTCGTCTGCTGTATTAGTCACTAGATTGTAAATGGTCTGCATAACGCCGTTTTAGCAGTACAGACCGAATATATATAACAGTGATTATTACCCATTACAAGTTGTGATACTTGTCTTATTTTTCTTAAAAAATCTCACCAATGAACAATAAGAAAAGTATTAAATCTCTGTCTATAATAATAATCTAATCAATAATTATGAGAATAGTAGTAAGTAACGAAATGTTCAGGGCAAATAAAAGGGCTTTTATTTTGATATAATAACCTCTGGTCTTTCTTACGAAGATAGTTTTATTAATCGCCAATTAATGGACTTTCAAATGAAACTTCATTGTTCTCTCTTACTGAATTTTAATCAATAAAACTATTGCTATTCAAATAATTTATTGGTTACTAAAAGTGTTGATTATAAATCTATACAAACGAGTAAACAACAAACTGTTTATGTTAACCGACTAGATAGTTAACATGTGAAGTTAAAATCAAGTATTTCACATGCTACTGGTATAATTTGAAAAGTTTTCACTAACTTATAGTTTGGTCATACTATGGTTAATGCTACATAAGTTGACAGGCATAAGTAGTATGTAACACTAATCAGAAGTGGAATGCCTGGTAACAGAAGGTTGAGAAGATCGAGTTGGAAAGAACAGGAATGTAAACATAGAAATTGTAATAACAATAGGAATTAATAAACGATTAAGTTTGTAAGAGACAATTGATGGAACATGTACAAATGAAGTATTTAATGTTTAGTTTTTATATTTTTTGAAGATATTGGTCTTCCCCGCTTGTGTTCATTCACTGCTATGTCATCTATCAGTTGAGTACAAGGAAGTATGCAACAACTGAATGATCAGCAACTAATCAAACTACCATAAATTCACCTTTGTAATCCAAGTCTGGAGAAATACTAAGAACGAAAATCTATGACTCATAAATCGATCTAATACTACTGTCAATTCAATTTAAGTCAGTACTCCAGATTAAACATAAAGGCTCGATTAAATAACATCTGATTTAGTTGGAATCGATATTTGTTTTCAATCCCAATTCAACTGATCTCACAGATTACGGCTTATCATCACAACTATCTTGGAAAATTTACTATAATGCACCAGATTAGAATTCAACGAAGGGATTTGAGGAGACTGATTTAGTATGAACATCTACTTCGTCATTGATATAAACTGGAGAATGAATGAAAATGACATGATCTATAATTCCAACATCACTCAATCAAATAGTTTATACCTGGTTGCAGATAAAAAGTTAGAATAGTTTTTTTCTGACAGTCCAATCCCACTAGTTTACATCTTTTTAACAGCATCGCCATTCCGAACGAGAATTGACTTATTTCTCGATGAATTCACTAGGGCACCTATTGTCAAGATTTTATTCATCATATACAAACGCCAAAAATAAATAAAGCCTTTGGCGAAATCTCTGTCAAAATTACCTACAGAGTATCCTTTCCTTCTTTTATGATATCTGTTGTAGTGTCTGTCATTATGTTAAGCCCAAATACCTGATTATTCTAACTTTCGGACAGCCCATTCTATTCATTCTATTTGAGTCACATTCTGACCTTGTTCGCTTATCAATATCTTGACTGCTTTATATGAGCGCGTAGGTGTATGTACACTTCTTATCCCGTTACTCATCACATGTCTGTAATTTATTTTTGTGGGCTTATAAATATTGATTAGCTCTTTGTTAAGAGAGAGTTGGCTTACCAGCCATCTCCACCACGCGCCAACTTAGCTTCGCTTTCTAATCTTCGCATCGTTCCTCCGTTCGTTTGTCTAATCAACAATTATACGAAATATATGCATTCGAAACTCCATTCTCGTTATTTGACTTATTTAATTCCGTTATTAACTAACGCGATTTAAGTCAATGATTATATACGAGGATAGACGATAGCAACCAATCATTACGATCAAATTGGAGACAGATCACGGGCCACTAAACTGTATAGTTCCAGGATGTAATGTACTTGGTTTTAAATCCACCTTCATTCAATTCAGACTGTCAAAGTTAACTAACCTTATTACTATAAAGGTACTTTACACTTCAATGGAATAAAAAACCAGAATGGTTTAGTTAATATCTTGTATGTGAATGTAAGTTAGCACTGTAACTAATTCACAAATTTGTTTCAGATCCAGTTATAGATTAAGTTTGGTGTTACATTAAATATCATTGCTAATATTATAATATTCAGAATTAAAGATTCCATAAATCTTTATCATAAGTGGTTGGGGTATGTGATTTTGGTAATAATTTTGCCTGGTAATGCTTTCCAACTTCAACCAACTAACCTTCGCGAAAACTTGAAATGGTTCATTTTCATCAAATCTAGTTATACTTACATCTCTAAATAATTTTGAAAATGTACCAAACTCTTTTTTTTCGTAAAGATGTGCTGGCTATGATGCCTAGAGTAAATTAAGCTAAAATACCGTTTATACTGTTGGTACATTTGCCTGTTTTATCATAAACATTTACATGTGTAAACCTGATATTATCAAGTCAAATATCGTAAACTTTATTGTACTAAATATCATTTGTTAACTAAATTCATGGTACTACCTACATCTGGGTCCGGATCCAATCCTCTGAATTTCTCTGTTAGATATCCATTACCAGGTGAAGAGATAAGACATCTTCTAGGTTTATATTTTGAAACTTCCCAACGTCTGGCTGAACTCCGACCATTCTCTTCGTCATTAATCACATTAAATATTGACTCGACAAATTTAGATTTAAATATACTTAATAGTGTTGAATCCATTGGTTGACCATACCAACCGTTTGCAATAGCTTGTTTCACTTCATTATCTGTCGACCAAACTATAATAGATGGATGATAGTGCAATCGTGATATTTGCCTTCTGATTTCTTCTTCAACAGTATCATTTCTAATAGAAAAAAGGTCACATAGAAATGTACATTTTTATTCAACCAAGTAATTACTATTTCTAAAACTACATATAAACAAAGATGGATGGTGACTAGCAGTGGAATACAGGATGCGTGTTTCGTCCGATTTGGGACTCGTCAGCTGGATGTACCTATATCACAAAGTCGATGTTCACTCCCCCATCTCTGCTTAAAATGCTTGTGACTTCAGGCAATATTGAGGAAATCCGTAAAGGATACACATATACCAATATAAGACTAATCAACTTCAGTCCTAAACATCAATGAGAAGACTCAATTAATACATTCGATACAAAAATGAATTACTACCTATAAACAGTTTACAAATGAATAGTTATAAGAGTAGGTTCAATTCAAATTGATATCTTTTACAGACTAATGATTTAAATATGCAATGATTGTTTTATTCATTACCACTTGGGATTATTTACCGTTTATATAGACAGATTTAACTGTACAATATTCATTGAGTTTTATTATAAACCACGAACAATTACTGCTATTCAATGATCATAATATTTGTTTTTAATAGGACCATCCATAAAAATCTACACTATAAAATGTACTTTCTAAACAATAATAAAGAAAAATAAAGTTCAGTCCAATCCTGAACCTTTGATAATAATCAAACCCATACATCTTCTATACCATTGAATTTACCGATTTGTACCAGTTTAATAACCTCTATCATCATATTCATAACATTTCTGAAGGGACTTATAACTTAATAAATTCTTTCCTGTTCATCTCAACTATTATTCAACCTTCTAAAATATTGGCTTCTGTTTAGCGGGTAATGATATTAGGCACCATTTAATCTTATCAGTTTTTTTTTTTAATTATCCACAGTATACATTGATTTATATTCAATAACAACCCAATTCAGCTGTATTCATCTATCGATCCCACTAAATGATACTAATATCCAATAAGCTATCAATCAATATTACTTAGCAATAATTCATGACTCGATCACTTCTGATCCAATTTTCATCAGACAGTGTAAAATCAAACGATGAGTAAAAATTTACGGAACCATTAAAAAAACTTTATTCACACAGAGAACATTATTCAGTGGTGTTCTTTTTTTAACTATATCTACCTTCAAGTGAATCAATCATGATATAAAATATCCTTCTGAATACTTTCTGACTCCCACCAATGATTTCCAACAATTCTAAAAGTCTCAAAAGTTTTAATAATGAGAATAATTAAAACAAAGAAGCTTTTTATCAGAACGGTAAATGAATATTAATAACCAAAATGTAATGTCAGCTAGATTGATGCTGTTCAAAATTTAGTAGATATAGAACTGATATTGGTTAGATGACTACTGAAGATCAGGGGGCACTAGATAGTTGTTTTGTCTTAGTATGGAATCCGTCTTCAGTAAACAACTACATCGAGCCTGGAACTTTTGAATCTTGTGGTGAGAGCTTAACCTCTAGACTACTGAGCCGGCATATAGCGGTTTATATATCTAACTTCAATAAATTAGTAATATTACGCAAATTTCATCCATTATCTCTATGGAACTTTGTTAATCATAGTTTCTAACCAGAACTTAGGGAATCAGCTCTCTAAATTGGTCAATAGTGACCACATTATTATCAATAAGATAGAGTTTTATGAAGATTTGTGAATTTTTTAGCTCGCATCACATATGGATCACGATTGGACAACCATTGGAAACCAGGAAACTAGTTATTTAACAGTTAATTGCATCTTTCATTGATTTCTAAAAAAATTTCACCTTTCTTTATCTGGATAAGTAGATACTGCAAACATCATATCATGCCATATCATCAAGCCAAGCCTATCTGCTTCTGTGTAAAATTCATCATCTTCATAACGTCCACCACCCCATATTCTTATTAAATTAATTCCTGATAGACTTGCTGAACGAAGAAGTCGTTTTTCTAACCCAATACGATCATTCGTTACATTATGCATTAAAAAATACTGTCTACCTGGCATATATCTTGCAGGTATCCAATTAGCACCTGTTATGAATATTGGTAAACCATTAATTTTAAAATAAAATGTTCGACCTAATTCAATTTGTGATGAATCCACATAATCCTAAAATTATACAATATAAAATGTAAACTCAGTTTACTTTTTTATGTTTTGTAATTATAAATGAAGTAATTCAATGCAATATCAAAAGCAAAAAAACTTTATACCGACCCATATATAACTTTCACGAATCATAGCGTTAAATTATTATATTAAAATAGCATAGAAAAGTAGAAAGTGAATACAAACGTCAGCTAGTTACTGTGGAAATAGGAAGTGGATAAATTGGATAAACATACTTAACAAAAAAAGAAACTCTACAACTGATTTCGTAGAAATTTATGGGTCACAATGATCTCAAGGCACTAAGTAGTGAGGTTGTAGCACAAATTTAGAGTTCACCGGTTCGTTTTAGACGTACTAAATAGAGGTTTTTTGTCTTTTGCAAACTATTTAATGCATGTTAATCAGGAGTTTATAGTTATTTTGAAATCTTTTAATCTAATTTTCACTTTACATGTGAGCTAACACCAAATTGTTTTCAGACATTTTCATGCAATCTTGCAGAGTAGTACACAGATTGTCAGTTACACTAAGTGAATGAATGTTTATTTAATCAATAGAGTAAAATCTGTCAATATTTCTATACTATGTAGTCATTCCCTGTATGAATAGTGAATTTATTAATTTAACACAAGTTAAGTAAATATCACACTTCCAATAATGTGGATATTCTCTTAACCCCATTTTTATTCATAAAGATCGCATTTATACGCAGAAATGATCGAATACAGTCAGTACGTTCGGTCACCTTGAAAAAATCCTATTCCAGAGATAAGGTTATGTAAAATTACTAATCTACTCGCACCGACCCATTTGAACATTGTTTTGGTGATTCTTTTACAAGCTTTTTTATCTATCTTTAGTCTTTAACTACTCATAAGTAGTCAAGAATATTTATCCAAATACTGTCAATTAAGAACAGATTTTAATTACCTCAAATTTTATTTCATACAATGTTAAAACCAATCTATTCGAAAAATATGGATAGTTGTTTTTTAAATGTTTAATAATATGTGAGGAAATTATTTCGGTTATTATATCAACGATGTGATAATGATGATTACAGTGTAAGATAGATAGATCAACACTGATACATGAACTAAAACTATGTGCATAATCGTGACTGTGTAAATTATACGTTCCTAAGATCAGATTAATGCAAATTGATGATTTTTAACAATTATGGTATTAAAAATTTCCGATTCAAAGTCTAGTAATGATCGCTCATTAATTTTCGTTTATCCACGAAGTAGTGCCTTGTAGTTTCCCACTTATACCAATATTTATGTATTTAAATAATTAAATAAAGTTGCGCGGACTAAACATATAGTTTACGTGGTCGAACGTTGTTCGGAACTATAGATAGGAGGTACGATAATAGCTAAATTCTGAAGTTATATGTGAGTTAATAGAACAATAGGATATCAAATACTGACCGTAGGTAATAACATTGATTAAATTATATTACATAGTTGTACTACTGTTTTAGACGATTCACGTGTGAATGATGATTACTTTATTCATTCCACAATTTACCCTTTCCATTTCTAGTTGTTTTTAATTGTAAAAACTGTACTCCATATGTACTATACTCCTGATTTCAAAACCCATAATTTTTCGTTTTATTAATGTATGGTTTTATTATTTCGAACTCCTGTTACGATAAAGGTATACATATACATATTGTAATATTTATAGAGAACAATAAAAATACTAATTTCTTTACCAACTCTACATTTGCTGAATCCTTCTTTGAAGTTATAAACAACATTGAAATATAAGTTAATTGATGTGTACCTCAGAAGTAAACATACTGAATAGTATCCTGAAGAAGTAGAATACAGTTATAAGATTTCGTTTAGATTAATATGTCATAGACATATGTTCCGTACGAATAATCTATTCGATCAGTAATTGACTCCTTGAAAAATTGAACTGCAGTAACACCTATGAATTGGGAGTGCTGCAATTCTCTTTCTGGCTACTGAAAAATGATCAAATTCTTCAAGATTGTAAAAACACTTTTCTAATGAGTATCAACTAGCATGAAAACTGCGCTTGAGATTTCTTGCTGATCCCCCTCAACCATCAAACATCAAAAAAAGTTCAACACTGCTTCAAGCCACTCAGTTTATCCACTACATCGTAAACTTTATCGGTAGAGTTATACTATTATCAAAGCCTATGCAAAACTTAACTGTTTACTAACCAATAATCGGTTAATGAGATTAAAAGCAAAAGATACATTTAATTCATTACAAGATATAAATCACTCATTTTTTTCCATGAATTAGTATTACCTTTGTATGATTTGTCTTAGTACTTTCCTTAATTTAAACAGTAATATTCTGATTTTATATCATAAGCCTCCGTTACTATACTTGTTTAATTTTTTATATCCTCCTGATTATTTTCTCGCATATGAGGGATTTGTGGAAATAGTTCGATCTTATAGATCACATCACAGACTGACCTTAATTAAGCAACCATTACGAATAATAATATGCCACATTTTATTTACTTCTTTATCTACTAAGCTATCGGTACACATGAAGCTGGCTCTCGAGCTTAGTTTGTGAATCGATTTCCTCTGTTGACTCAATCGATTTGGCTTACAAATTATTCCACGAAGTAGTATGATAAAAAGGCAGGTCTTTCACAGTATGAAAGAAATATCTTTAGCTTAGTAGTACAGGGGTTAGAGACTAAAAATAGTTATTATACTATTGGCTTACTATTATCTAGACTGCAGAAAGTGTTTAATTATTAGTGATTTTTTAACTAGTTAATGATATGTAACAATCAGTTAATTTTGTTTTTTATCCCATCAGTTGAAGCCTTCTACTGCTATAGCTGTCTTTGTTTATTCAAACCGATTCACAAAATAAGAGGTTGGATATTTGCGCGCAAGACCAGAGGTACTGGGTTCGAGTCCCGCGTGAGGAATCGTAGATGCTCACTGTTGAGGAGTCTCATATTAAAATAAAACGGCTATCAAGCACTTCTGGGTTTTCAGTAGTGATCCTGCATGGATTGGTTCATAGTCTTAATTAAAACTCGATGATCTCCACAATCTTATACTGATAAATCAACTTTCATTGAAGAATTCAGTCATCATACACAAATCGTAAATGAAAACATACCTCAATTAACTCCACTTCACGAAAACCTATTGAATATTCTTTTTTATCAATGATCTTGTTGAAACCAACTGTTAAGTAGAGTACTAATGTATAAAGATATGGTCCAGTCTCCGTACCAATAGGCCACCATAATTTAACTTTTGATTGATTACGTAACACCACCATAGTGATTACTTCATTTTCTATTCCAAAACACTTTCTTCCAAATACATTTAATTCCTTAATATATGAATAGATACATGCTTTTGATAGACGATCGTACGACGGCATATTACCTACAAGTTCTACATCAATTTCAGCACTCCATAATTTAAATTGATTTTGCTGTGAAAAAGCATAAAATTTAAATCTTTCACCAAATCTTAAACCTGAAGGTGAAACTATCAACTGAGGTAATTTCCATAATCCTTGAATAGGTAAAGTTAATCCCCAATCCCAACCAAATATTGATTGTGTTGTCCTAACAAGATTTACATGACATTCACCATGAAATCTAGATGGCCAACAAAATGGTGGTGGAATAGATTTTTTTCTCATTTTCATTAATTCCGCTTTTTTCTTTGCCATCAACACAGTTGATATACATTTTAATTGTAATTTATTTATTTGTTTTAAATTTAATAAATGATTAATTTTCCATGTATATGATAAAAAACTATTCTCTGTAACTCCTAACAAATGATTATTTAATATTATCTCACAAAATGTATCTATACCATCCATATATAATTCTATAGTATTATTTAAATAGTATTGTTCAATTATAAAAATCTTAGTAAATGTCCAATTATCATATGCTATCCATCTTAATTTCACATCATTATCATCAATAAAAGGATTATTATTATTATTATTATTATCAATTATCCATTGTGTGCTATAACTATCTAAACCAAATATTGTATAAATTTGTTTGGATATAGTTTGATTTGAAATGATCCAATTCCCAATTAAAGGTATCCATTTTGTTTCCATATTTTGAATTGATAATGCAGTTGAAATATATAAGAAATTACAAAATATTGATAATAAATATTGAATTAAATTAGACATCATTTATTATTATTATTATATTTCATTATCAATATATATACAGATAAACAGATCATTGAATCATTCATAATTGTTTTAACTAGGTTCATGTCATGTATAAAAATACATTTGAAATCTAGTTAAAGTAACAATTTCAAATCGAATATTTTAATTGATTAATTTTTTGTTTGTTTTTGTTTTTCAAACTAATATGGTTGGTTAAAACAAGGTCATCTGATTTAGTTGATAGACAATTGATCTCAGAGGGGTTAATTAATTATTGATTTATATTTAATAAAAAAAATATAGAACTTAATTACATAGATTATATTGTATATTTGATGTATGATGAATAAAAAGTGATAGTTTAATTAAAGATTTTAACTAAATTAATAGTTGAATTCATGAGTTGATTAAAGCTAGGCCACTATAGAAAATCATCTAGTACTTCCAGGTTTTCCATGGTGGTCATGAATTCAACTATTAAATTATTACAATTTCAATAAAACACCATTTCTGATTTTAACTAATTGTAAATATTTTATATTGAGTAAACGACTATATTATTTTAAAAAATCAAAAATTTAGTGTATCATTTTACTGAAATCATTATGAATTCTCTAACCCACTCTGTCCTGAGATTTCCTTTCTAGTTCTATCCAATATCTGTTCATTTTTCTCAAGTCTGTCTCCATTTCTCAGCGTAATGTGTTCTTAGTTCTTCCTCTTCTCCTTTGGCTTTCAGGATTCCAAGTGACGGCTTACTCTGTGACGCAGTTGAGTGCTTTCTTCAATGTGTGTCCTATCCACTTCCAACGCTTCTTCCTGATTTCTTTCTCTGCTGGGATCTGGTTTGTTCTCTTCCACAATAGGTTGTTGCTGATAGTGTCCGGCCAACGGATCCGAAGTATTTTGTGTAGACAGCTACTAATAAACGCTTGTATCTTCTGGATGATGGTTCTTTTTAGTTCTCCAAGTTTCCGCCCCATACAGTAGAACTAGTTTGACATTTGTATTGAAAATTCTGACCTTGGTGTTATTTGACAGTTGTTTTGAGTTCTAAATGTTCTTCAAATGTTGATATGCTGTTCTTGATTTTCCGATCCGCGCCTTCACATCTGCATCAGGTCCATCGTGCTCATCAATGATGCTACCCAGGTATATAAAGATTTTTGCATCCTCCAAACTTTTCCTTCAAGTGTGATTGGATTGGTGCATGCTGTGTTGTATCGGAGAATCTTGCTTTTCCCTTTGTGTATGTTGAGACCTATTGCTGCTGAGGCTGCTGCTACTTTGTTCGTCTTCTCCTACATTTGTTGTTGCGTTTGCGATAGAAGGGCCAGATCATTTACAAAGTCTAGATCGTCCAGATGTATCCTAGCTGTCCACTGTAACCCATACTTCCTCGCACATGTTGACATCTTCATGATACGCTCAATCACCAGGAGAAAGAGAAAGGGTGAGAGTAAACAACCTTGCCTGATACCGGTCTTTACTTCGAACGAGTATGTCAGCTGTCCTCCATGAACGATTTTGCAGTTTAATCCATCATAGGAATTCCGTATGATATTGACTATCTTCTCAGGCACGCCGTAGTGTCAAAGAAGCTTCCATAGGGTTGTTCTGTCTCCGCCGTCAAATGCATTCTTGTAGTCAATGAACTTGATGTAAAGTGGTGAATTCCATTCAATTGACTGTTCCACAATGATCCTTAGTGTTTTAATTTGGTTGGTACACGATCGATCCTTACGGAATCCAGCCTGTTTATCTCGAAGTTGGGCGTCTACAAAGTACCTCATTCTGTTCAACAACACACTGTTGAATATTTTTCCTAGTATTGAGAGAAGAGTGATGTCTCTGTAGCTCTCACACTTGCTGAGATCGTTTTTCTTTGGCATCTAGATCAGGCGTCCTTCTTTCCAGTCTGTTGGTACTTGTTCTTCATCCTAAATCTTGCTGAAGAGAATGTTGAGTATCTTTGCAGTTACTTCCATATCTGCTTCCAGTGCCTCTGCGGAAATGTTATTTGGTCCCGTTGCTTTGCTGCTCTTTATTTGTCTGATGGCCATTCTGATCTCCTCAATTGTTGGTAGGTTAACATCGATTGGGAGGTCTGTGAGAGCTGCTTCCATGTTGGGTGTGTTCAGCGGGGCTTGTCGACCTGAGAGTTACTTAAAGTGTTCTGCCCACCCGTTTCGCTTACCTTCCTTGCTTTTCACTGGTCGTTCTGGTTTACTATGATTTCCAGAGAGTTTCTTTGTTGTGTCATACAATTGTCTCATGTTTCCCTCTCATTTACCACCTGCCCCGCTGTCATTGCTTGATCTTCCACATGTTTACGTTTGTCAGTTCTGATGCTCCTCTTCACTTGCTTGTTTATTTCTGTGCATTCAGCTTGTGTCCATATTAGAACAGAGTGGTCGTTTAGTGCCTCTAGGTTTTCTAGCAAAACCCTACCTCACTGATAATAAGTATTAGAATGATCACACATTAATTTAATCTTCCATATCTAAGCAAATTAAATTCATACACATATAGGATGAGTGACTGGATTTTCCTGAGGTGAATTATCTTTCTAATTATATACAACTTATTTACTTACTATCAATTAATTGATTACATTATATTCATTTAATCTCTGGTTTGTTTATCAATAATCTACCATTTTTTGTGAATTCATATCATATATGTATGTATTTTTGGACTGTTTTCTATGCTGGTTACTAGGACCAAATATAATTATTCGCTTATATTTATTGCTTTAGTATATGAGTACCACTTACTTATCATCAATTCATCATCTCCTTAGTAAATTATTAAGAATACAGTTTGTTGTTGTTTTTCTACAAAAACGTCTCTCCACCGATATTCATTTTAAATATATACTAAATAAAACAAAACTGTAACATTACAAAGAAGAAATGGGCAAATTAATTACAGGTAGGCATTTAAAGTATTAAGCCAAAATGAAAATAGAAAATAAAAAAAAGCAAACAAAGCAAACAACAACAATCTTCAGTTAAACAAAATGCAAATCTCACATAAAACATACTTCGACAGGTGTTAAAAACTAACTAATCAACTAAATAAATAATAAAAAAATACCTTATTGAAACTCTTCATAAAACTGTACTACACTTAGTAGCTATGGTAATATTTATTATTATTATTATTATCGTTTCACATCTTCATTTCATAAAATTATCTCATATGTATCCATGTTCGTATGTATAAATGTGTATCATATTTTATCTTTATAACATTGACTTTATCATTTAGAGAACCTATCATTTTTATTTATATTTATAGAAGTGGTGAACACTTTATTGTGAATAGATTTATACTTACTAAGAAAAGCACATACATGAAATGGGCAAGCATTGGAAAAGGTATATATATACATATCTTTTTGACTTGGTTGATGAATGAAATTTGAAATGTTTAACTAATAAATGTTATATAGTTGATTTAAACAAATTAACACAAATGAAGATATACATGTCAGGTCATTAAGTCAATAATGACTTATAGAAACTATAATTTCATACTTTATACATTTGAAACATAAATGAGTCATAATTATGTGTTTAATCAATGTTATTATAAACACATAACTGAGGAAAATCGGAATAATGTTTTCCACATTAAACTAAAAACTGAATGTGTCAAACTAATTATTATTATTATTATTATTGTATATTTAATTAACAATATCAGTTGGTGATTTGTTTTATTCGATTAATCTTAATTAATTAATATATATATATATATATATATTCTTCTTTTTGATAGATATATTTCTTCATAACTTTATTTAACCTTGCAAATGATACATCAAAATAATGAATGAATGAACATGGTTTAGTCATACTTTGTTTGGGCAAATAATGAATCAGTATATATATATATATATATATATATATATATATATATATATATATATAAAAGTCTTATTTAAAAGTTCATAACTCAGACAGTAATTACAAAGTACATAAATATAGATATATATCAGAATTCCGTGTATTAGTTATTCATGTAATATAAATACATCATTTTATTTAATTTCTAATTATTACTTAAGTATTAATGTAAGGAACATTCGAATTGCAAAAGAAATAACCTTCTAAATCTTTTATTACGTTTTTTTTCAGTTTAAATGATTCTCAGTTTGTGATAAGAATGACCTTCAAATAAGATATTGTACATTGAAAATTATTTATTTTATTTAATTAATTGTTGAAAGTGAATATCATTTTAGTTTAATATTCATTCAATATTAAGATTTTATTATATTTCTTAGGATATCACTATATGAATTGATTTGAGTAAACATGAAGTCTTTCAATTGATTCCTGTATTAGAGTATAAAAATATAGTTAACTTTAATTGAAATCAATTCAATTCACCGGTAGAATGCTGACTGATTTCATACTACTTACATTTATTCTCCAATACTTGAGTAGTATTTATTAAATTTGTCTAAAGTTAAATTTTAATCATCGTTACCAATTAAAGGTAAATATGTAACAAAGTGAAAAGTACACTCAATTCTGAATAATTCCTTGTAGTATAGAAAATGGTTACTGGGAGCAAATATGCAACTCAGTAATTTAAATTAAATCTGATAACATTGTAAACTGCCTATATGTATTCAGTTATTGATTAGTTTATATTAACTATTTCCTAATTGCACTTATTCAAATTCACCTAATGATCAGATTGATAAATCGCACATGATTCATTGTTATTTTAATATAGGTTCTGAATCACTGGTAGGTCGGCTATATATTTGCAGTTGGAGCGTAAATATATCTCTATCTTCAGTTCCTTCCCCATTTTTACACCGAGTCATATCAGGCCTTGTTTAGTTATAAAATGGCAATTAACTAGTTATATCCTCAGGATATAACAAGTAGCTGTACCAGTTTTTTTTCGCGCCAAAAACAACCTCTAGTTTAGAAAAAATAAATATTTTCATGTACTGATACGAGTGATTGAGTAATCATTGTTTACATGAACGATAATTACGTTTTAAAAAAATATCTGCCAGCATAAGATAAAGGGTTTACTCCAAAGCAATTTCATACACCTGATCAA